GTTTTGGGTGTGAAGCATGGGTGATAAAATGTTCAGCGAGAAAAGGCGGAGGCAAGGAGATGCATGTCTGAGGGCAATGTGTGGTGTGATATAATGCAGGAATTCGTATTTTGGGAATTTAAGGAGGTGGGTTTACCAAAACTGTTGTCCAGAGGGCTGAGGAAGGGTTGTTGAGGGGGTTCGGACATGTGGAGAGAATGGAGCGAAACAAATGACTTCAAGAGTGTATCAGTCTGTAGTGGAAGGAAGGCGGGGTAGGGGTCAGCCTAGGAAAGGTTGGAGGGAGGGGGTAAAGGAGGTTTTGTGTGCGAGGGGCTTGGACTTCAAGCAGGCACGCGTGAGCGTGTTTGATAGGAGTGAATGGAGACAAATGGTTTTTAATACTTGACTTGCTGTTGGAGTGTGAGCAAAGTAACATTTATGAAGGGATTCAGGGAAACCGGCAGGCCGGACTGGAGTCCTGGAAATGGGATGCCTGCACTATGAAGGAGGTGTGTTAATGTTGCAGTTTAAAAATTGTAGTGTAAAGCACCCTTCTGGCAAGACAGTGATGGAGTGAATGATGGTGAAAGTTTTTCTTTTTCGGGCCACCCTGCCTTGGTGGGAATCGGCCAGTGTGTTAAAAAAAAAAATTACAATAATGCAGTAGTCTGCATAACAGTAAATCTTTTATTTTTTGAGTGAATAAAAATTAAAAATGGAAAGCAAGCGTAATATAAGAGGGGCCTGGAGACGTGACTAGTGAACAGAGAAAATGTTGTTTTAGTGCTAGAAAGTTTGTATTGTTAATTCTGGACTCTATTTTGAAATTGGCCTTACTTGAATTGTGTATGAAATTTGCCAAATTACCAATTTCTGATCACTTTATTGGGTGGTTGAAATTGGTAAATGGACAGTTTCTTGTACTCAATCGAAAAAACAAATGGAGTTCTAGTGAAATAGCTATGAACAATGGAATTGGCCAAAAATAGGGCTCAAAGTGGATGAAATTGCCGATGCGTAAATATCTCCAAGACCGCTAACTTCGCAAGAGAGTGATTCCGTAAGTTTTCCACCAAATTTCATACTTTTGGTGCCATTACCATCAGGAAAAGATTTTCTATCATAAGAAAAAATTTTTTTTTTAAATTCTTCGACACTGAGAGTAAGCTTGTGAGCAGGGGTCTCGACAGTGAAAGGGGTAAAACAACATCAAGTATGGTTGACACAAACTCACTACCATTATAGTATGCTCCTCACTTAGTGACAAATTCATTTACCAGCGTGGTCTTAGGAATGGAACTCTGTCGTTAAGTGAGGAGAGGCTATATTTGACAAGGCCCGGCGTTGAGCGAAACACTGTAATGTGCAAATAAAAAAAATCCTGTATGTGTCTGTTCCAAATGTTAATATAGTGTCACCATCACCACCTCATTGTATTATGTCAAATGTCATTGTACTGTCACTGTCACTAGCTCACTGTATTCTGAACAGAGACAACATGTATCGTACTAGCATCATCACTGACCTGTATTTACCATGGAACTTCTTATCTTGCAAGAGTGTCTGGATGCGCTCAAACGGACATAGTATTGCCTCGGTGCAACCTGCAAGCATGGCAGCCAATGCTACAGTTGCACCTGTAATAAACAAAGTGAATTTTGGGTAGACAAACTAATGAAATTGCAAATACAAATCTTTATTCCTTATAACCAAGACTTAATAAGTATTTAAAAAGGAACAGATCAAATTTGATTGCTTGAATGTTATTTTAATAGATTTTAATATGAGGTGACGCTATCTAAACTGAACTGCTAATTTTGTTGACTTTAATACTTGGTGATTCAAATATTTTTTAGCAAATTATGTAAGATTTTATATTTTTAATCAATCATTAACTTTCAGTCAATTATATCAGGTTAAGGGAATGTTGTTTAACAAGTCTTGCAGCAGTTGACAGATTCTAAACCTGTTTGCAATGTCAGGTGTCAAGCTCCATATTTTGGAACTGAACGGAGTTCTTAAACAGCTTAAACTCCACCAATATTCAAAACTCTAAACCTACTCACCATACAAAACATCCATACTTTTTACTGCACCTACTACATACATAGAACACTTAACTCTGATATAAACCCTCCCCTCAAACATCTCCTTACCAACCTCAACAGAACACATTACCATAACACAAGGCACAGATCACTCTTTGATGTTCCTCGTGTCCATCTCACACTATGCAAAAACTCAATGCACATAAAAGGCCCTAAATTCTGGAATTCATTACCTGTGAATATAAAAGAAACAATGTCTGTTTATAAATTCAAGTCTCTTCTCAAAAATCACTTACTCACCCACAACTAAATAAATACTGAATAATTGTATCTCATAAATTGTATCTCATAAATGTTTCTCATTATTGTATCTCATAAATGTCTAACTTGTGACCCAATCAAACTTTGTTATTTTTTAATTACATTACCTAACAGAATACTCCATTCTACTGAATGCACGGCAACACAGTAAATGGCCATATGACCTGTCTTTGTAATACTCATTTGTGCTAAATTGTTATCTGTTTACAATAATGTTTTTACCACTGAATATATCATTGCTTAGTTAATCTTAAGTTAATTTTAAGCCAGCCCATAATGCTCTGCATACAAGGGGCTTTGGCATGTTGCACTTTAATAACTGTATTCCTTTGTACTTCTCTATATCATGTTCAAATTAATAAATAAATAAATAAAAAACATTTGATATGTCAGTGTTGCTTGTTACCAGTGTTGTGCCATTGCTAGTATTGGGTTGCAGCTGTCAGAGGGACTAGTTGCTAGTATTGTGTTGCAGCTGTACTCACCTAATTGTGGTTGCAGGGGTCGAGACCCAGCTCCTGGCTGAATGACCACTACTGGGTCCTCCCTCTCCCTGCTCCATGAGCTTTATCATACCTTGTCTTAAAACTATGTATGGTTCCTGCCTTCACTACATCGCTTGCCAGACTCTTCAGCTTCCAATTGTGACCCCTTGTTTCTATGTCCCATCTCTGGTACTCATCCCATCAGAGGTACTAGTTGCTAGTGTTAGGATGCAGCTTTCAGAGGTACTAGTTGCAAGTGTTGGGTTGCAGCTTTCAGAGGTACTAGTTGCTAGTGTTGGGTTGCAGCTGTCAGAGGTACTAGTTGCTAGTGTTGTGTTGCAGCTTTCAGAGGTACAACAGCACAAGAAAGGTTGAATAGCACAATTAAAAAGCTGAAAAGCCCAACTGAAAAGCTGAATAGAACAAAAATTTAACAGCACATGGGAAGACCTTCATAGTTTAAGCCAGTGGTTCCCAACCTTTTCTTACTCCCGCACCCACATAAAATTTTTGCTCTAACCTCGCACCTCCTACAGTTTAAACTTTGTTCAAGGATAAAGGATGTGGAATCATATTAAATTTTATCAAAAGAAGATATTTATTTCACTTTCTAATATAATATGTGAGCAAAAATCAGACTTACAGAAAAGAAACATATCACAGAATGATATTTGAATACACCTTACAAAAATAATAACTCTTCCTTGAAATATATACAAAAAAGTAAAATAAAGAACTAGTTTTCAAACCTATAGAAAGGAATTTTATTTTTTTAATACGTAAAAAATCAAACATATGGACAAGAAAGGATGTTTCCGATTAACATTTGAATATACCATGCAAAAAATAGTTACTTTCTTTAAATGACTCTTTTGTTCCTCTTTCTTGCTTGTGCAGGGCTCAACATGGCCGACATGGCAGGTTGTGTAGCGGGCTAGCTGCGGGATTTTCAAGGATAGCTCCTGGTCAAAGAAGCTGACCAGGTCCCTACTTAACAGAACTCAGTGTGAATGCTTTGAGAAGATACCAGAGCAGCGAACGGACATCCCAGTGCATCGTTTCAGCGTAAATAGTTGAAGTGTTGTGCAGTTTCAGAGGATTTGGTGTTGTAGAGTCAGGACCAGTCAGTGCCTCCCCCCCTCTCCGCTGGGGGGAAGGGGGAGGGCGTGAGTAGTAAACAGTGACCCTCTCATAACGCCTCACCCCTGCCCGTCTCCCCCGCCTCACCCACCCAACTACCAGCACCACCCCATCTGTAGAGGGTACTTCTCCCCTAACCCACGATGTCAGCGATGGCACTGCAGGGAGTGCCGGGCTCACAGGAACTTCCACTACAGGGACAGCATCGTGGAGTTCGACCGCGAGGCAGCTGTCAGGTGCCACAGGCAGTGTGTACTCAGTTCCTCAAGCTTCAACATCCGTACACACAAGGGCCTGGGATCTTCAATCAACTAACTTGGCGTCCACCAGGACGCTGACATGTCCCTAGGGGAGCTCTCCATCGGGCTGTTAACGGAGTCACTGGCTTCTTGGACCTCTTGGGGAGGGTCGATGGTGCTCGTGCAAGCAGCAGATCCCAGGGCAACTTGCTGCTGTTTGCAATGGCTGTCTACCGAGGAGAGACAGGCACCTAGCAACATCTGTTGTTGGGGCATTGGATGAATTCCCTACTATGTTTGTTAACTGCTCATTACTCTGTAATTTGTCTATGATTGTAATCATGTGATAACGTGTTTATAATTCATTACCTTTGAAACTTGTCATGATTTTGACCAGCTCTACCTGGAGCTCATTACCTTTGTAAATTCCCCATGATTAATGTGTTTATGATTCATTACCTTTGCAATTATTCATGAGTGACCAGCTCTACCTGGAGCTCATTACCTTTGTAACTTGGTCATGATTATGACCAGATCTAGTTCATTACCATTGTAACTTGCTCAGCTATCAAAACTTTGGAGTCCAGTCCCTGGACCAATTATGTACCTCTGTAATCTTTTGACTACCGCCCACAGGATGGGTATGGGGTGCATAATAAACATATTAAACTAACTTGCTTGTGAGTTTTTCAAAACGGGGAACTATGTTGCTTCTCGCACCACCTGGAATGATGTCTCGCACCCCCAGGGGGTGCGAGCACCCCTGGTTGGGAACCCCTGGTTTAAGCTATTCAATTTAGCATACGCTTTCTCAATCACATTTACAAAATAATCCCACTATATAGGTGAGCTTTATAATAAACTGAAGTACCATGTGATATACTGAAGTACTGTACCATATGCTATGTTGATGGACTGTACAAAATCAGAATCAAAATTTCATTTCTTTGCTAAGGTTACAATGTGTGTTTACATTTCATAATCTGATTGGTACAAAGAAAGCCACTATCATGCCGAGGCATTTTGGGCAGACTTAACCTAATACTTAAAGACTACTTAAGTCTAAACAGGTCAAGAATGGTAGATTACAAATATTCAATATTTTACTCTATTATTAATATGAGGTAGTACAATTTATGATGCAAACATACATTTTTAAGTTTGTAATTAAATTTGTTACTCTATTATTAACCTTCTGACTGTCGCTACCCCAAATCCTGTGTGTCTGTCGCAAAATATTTGAAAAAACAAAAATTAATTTTTCTTATGAAATGACAGAGAAGCTTTTCCCGATGGTAATGACACCAAAAGTACAAAATTTGATGAAAAACTTATGGAATTACGCTCTTGTGAAGTTAGCGATCTCGGCGATATATATGCATCGGCGATTTCGCCCACTTTGAGCCCTATTTTCGTCAAATTCCATTGTTCCACTCGACCAAACTCACAGCTACTTCTTTAGAACTCCATTTGTTCTATGGATTGAGTCCAAGAAACAGCCCATTTACTGATTTCAACTACCCAATAAAGTGGTCAGAAATTGGCAATTTGGCCAATTTCACACAAATTAACAAAGATGCCAATTTCAAAATAGGGTCCAGAATAAACAATGCAGATATTTTCTGGCACTAAAATAGCATCTTCTCTATTCATCAGTCATGTCTCCAGGTCCCTCTTATATTACTCTTGCTTTCTATTTTGAATTTTTATTCACACAAAAAATAGAAGATTTACCATTATACAGACTATTGCATTATTGTAAAAATTATATAAATAATATCAGTGCACTTGTGAAAGAATATCAGAATATTAGACAGCTGACGTGTATTGGATGGGTGGTGTGATTTATTTATTCTTGAACATTGGCAAAAATCGAACATTTCCACTACTTTGAGCTCAATTTCAAGGTCCTTTTCATCATGAAACTAATCAAAATCATCTCTGTTTCTGTAATATGTTTTCCATTCTATCAAATGAGACCAAGAAAATGAGAATACAGCCATAAATACTATACGAAAATACACCTCAAAGTCGGCATTTTAATCCATAAACACGGTCAGAGTTTTCTTTCCCCCATTATGCACTGCATGTTGCAGGATTCTTTTTATACTGCGCACACTGACTACACAGACCCATTCTTTTACATGTGGGCCTACCGGCTTTCTCCTGCTTGATTTGAAGCCGCTAGAATTTAGGCGTATTAATACGTCAGAAACACTGGATCATAAGACGTATATATACAGCCAAAAGTCAAAGGGTTATTAATATGAGGTAGTACAATTAATGAAACATACTTTTTTAAGATTGTAATAATGGCTTAATAGTTAAGGGATAATACAATATTTGGGAGAGTTGCTTTACAATTGGTTTGAGTTTAGCATAGTGTGGGTATGGTTGTTATTGAGAGATGAGATGATTTCTGAGTATAGTCCTAAATTGATTTGTGGGTAGGGTACCTGTTGCTGTTTCGGGCAAAAAGTTCCAGGTCTTCAGGCCTATGTGCATTGCATTTTTGCATAGTGTGAGACGGAAATGAGGGATGTCAAAAAGTGTTTTGTGCCTTGTGTTATGCCTGTGTTCTGTTGAAGCTGTCTGGGAGAAGTTTGAGTGGAGGGTTGATATTGGAGTTCAATGTTCTGTATATGTATATAGTAGGCACAATAATAAGTGTGTATATTTTATATATTAAGTTCAAGCTTTTAAAGAGTGGTGAGGTGTGTAGTCTGGTGCAGGAGTTTGTGATCATCTGCACCGCCGCTTTTTGTTGGGTTATTATAGGTTTAAGGTGACTGGCCGTGGTAGATCCCCAAGCGCAAATACCATAGGTGAGGTAAGGGTATATGTATTAGAGTGATATAAAGTAAGGAGCACCCTTTGGAGTACATAGTATCATATCTTGGAAAGGATACCTACTGTTTTGGAAACTTTGTAGTTATATGCTGAATGTGGGTCTGAAATTTAAGATTACAGTCAAGGTGATCTAGAAATTTGCCCTCAGTGTGTCTTGTAATGGGTGAACCATTTATTGATATGTTTAGCTGGATATTTAATGCTCTGTTTCCAAAAAGCACGAAGCAGGGTTTGTCTATACACCTACCATCTGACTTACGACCTGCTCGACTTACGACCATGTTTTTTATGCCAAATTTCTGGGAAATAAACAACTATTTGTGTTGTACACAGTGTTTATCCTAAACCTTACAGTATAAAATACAGTACTAACAGCATAAAAAGTAAAGTAAAACATGAAATACCAAAATAAAACAATAAAATAAAGTCATTACAAAAATGTTTTGTTGATATTCAGTAGTAAAGTGCTATGTTGAAGCAGTGTACCATGTGCTATGTTGAAGCAGTGTACCATGTGCTATGTTGAAGCAGTGTACCATGTGCTATGTTGAAGCAGTGTACCATGTGATATGCTGAAGTACTGTACCAAGTGGTATGTTGAAGTACTGTACCAAGTGGTATGTTGAAGAACTGTACCATGTGCAATGTTGAAGCACTGTACCATGTGCTATTTTGAAGCAGTGTACCATGTGCTATGTTGAAGCAGTGTACCATGTGCTATGTTGAAGCAGTGTACCATGTGCTATGTTGAAGCAGTGTACCATGTGCTATGTTGAAGCAGTGTACCATGTGCTATGATGAAGCACTGTACCATGTGATATACTGAAGCACTGTACCATGTGATATATGTGGGTTGTAATATCTGAGCAACTTTCCATACTGCTCAAACATGCCAAACATTATGGAGGTGGATATTGTTCGCTGACAGAGCGGTGGCAGGATGCCTCGGTACAGGCTGATGCAACCTTCTCTGCTCAGCTGTCTGGCTGCACTCACTGGTGACACTCCGTGCAGCATCTGACACACCATTAATAAGGATGGTATTAATCAATCACTTTTTAATATGTAGTTATGATGAGCCTTACATATTAATGTAAGCCTACACATGTCTTTACTCACTGCTGAGTGTTAGGACAGGTCATGTAGGAGATCCTGCTGGCTAGTTCAAGTTTCATAACCTCACTGATCTATTCAGAAAATGGTAGTTATATTTAATAACAGTCTGACTTCTCCCTAACTACATTTGAGTTACATTGCTGAGAAATACAAAATGAAAGCTAAAATAAATATAAATAAAAATATATCCAAAAAGTTACCTATTTAAAAATTTTTAATTGACAGGCCCCAATATTTGGAAATTTTTAAATTACTGTTGTGGAGAGTGCATTAATAGTTTCAGCATGCAGGATAATATACAGAATAAGATTAAAACATCAACTAGGGCAAAAAAAATTAACCCTGGCCAAGAAAAAGTGGACAAATTATACTAAGGCAGAGTTCTGCCTCAAGACAAATGAAGAAGCAACAGTGATGGGACGAGGGAATAACACAGTTCTGGAATTGCACTGCAAATTATTTTGCCTAGGTTATAACAGCAATGAGCAAAACGTGATATATACTTGTATAACCTAAAAAAATCAAAGCAAAAATAATAATTTTTTTACAAATTCAGAGTTACAACAAGAATATTTGTTTATCAGTCAAGACAAAGTTTTCAGTTTACAATGTTTATATGATAACTAGTATACAATGTTAATGTGATAACTAGTATACAATGTTAATGTGATAACTAGTATACAATGTTAATGTGATAACTAGTATACAATGTTAATATGATAACTAGTATACAACATTAATATGATAACAAATATGCAATGTTAATATAAGAAATATACAATGGGGAAGTGGAAAAGAATCTTTCCTCCGTAAGCCATGCGTGTCGTATGAGGCGACTAAAATGCCGGGAGCAATGGGGTAGTAACCCCTTCTCCTGTAGACACTTACTAAAAAAGAGAAGAAGAAAAACTTTATAAAACTGGGATGCTTAAATGTGCGTAGATGTAGTGCGGATGACAAGAAACAGATGATTGCTGATGTTATGAATGAAAAGAAGTTGGATGTCCTGGCCCTAAGCGAAACAAAGCTGAAGGGGGTAGGGGAGTTTCAGTGGGGGGAAATAAATGGGATTAAATCTGGAGTATCTGAGAGAGTTAGAGCAAAGGAAGGGGAAGCAGTAATGTTAAATGATCAGTTATGGAAGGAGAAAAGAGAATATGAATGTGTAAATTCAAGAATTATGTGGATTAAAGTAAAGGTTGGATGCGAGAAGTGGGTCATAATTAGGTGTATGCACCTGGAGAAGAGAGGAATGCAGAGGAGAGAGAGAGATTTTGGGAGATGTTAAGTGAATGTATAGGAGCCTTTGAACCAAGTGAGAGAGTAATTGTGGTAGGGGACCTGAATGCTAAAGTAGGAGAAACTTTTAGAGAGGGTGTGGTAGGTAAGTTTGGGGTGCCAGGTGTAAATGATAATGGGAGCCCTTTGATTGAACTTTGTATAGAAAGGGGTTTAGTTATAGGTAATACATATTTTAAGAAAAAGAGGATAAATAAGTATACAAGATATGATGTAGGGCAAAATGACAGTAGTTTGTTGGATTATGTATTGGTAGATAAAAGACTGTTGAGTAGACTTCAGGATGTACATGTTTATAGAGGGGCCACAGATATATCAGATCACTTTCTAGTTGTAGCTACACTGAGAGTAAAAGGTAGATGGGATACAAGGAGAATAGAAGCATCAGGGAAGAGAGAGGTGAAGGTTTATAAACTAAAAGAGGAGGCAGTTAGGGTAAGATATAAACAACTATTGGAGGATAGATGGGCTAATGAGAGCATAGGCAATGGGTCGAAGAGGTATGGGGTAGGTTTAAAAAATGTAGTGTTAGAGTGTTCAGCAGAAGTTTGTGGTTACAGGAAAGTGGGTGCAGGAGGGAAGAGGAGCGATTGGTGGAATGATGATGTAAAGAGAGTAGTAAGGGAGAAAAAGTTAGCATATGAGAAGTTTTTACAAAGTAGAAGTGATGCAAGGAGGGAAGAGTATATGGAGAAAAAGAGAGAGGTTAAGAGAGTGGTGAAGCAATGTAAAAAGAGAGCAAACGAGAGAGTGGGTGAGATGTTATCAACAAATTTTGTTGAAAATAAGAAAAAGTTTTGGAGTGAGATTAACAAGTTAAGAAAGCCTAGAGAACAAATGGATTTGTCAGTTAAAAATAGGAGAGGAGAGTTATTAAATGGAGAGTTAGAGGTACTGAGAAGATGGAGGGAATATTTTGAGGAATTGTTAAATGTTGATGAAGATAGGGAAGCTGTGATTTCGTGTATAGGGCAAGGAGGAATAACATCTTGTAGGAGTGAGGAAGAGCCAGTTGTGAGTGTGGGGGAAAATTCGTGAGGCAGTAGGTAAAATGAAAGGGGGTAAGGCAGCCGGGATTGATGGGATAAAGATAGAAATGTTAAAAGCAGGTGGGGATATAGTTTTGGAGTGGTTGGTGCAATTATTTAATAAATGTATGGAAGAGGGTAAGGTACCTAGGGATTGGCAGAGAGCATGCATAGTTCCTTTGTATAAAGGCAAAGGGGATAAAAGAGAATGAAAAAATTATAGGGGGATAAGTCTGCTGAGTATACCTGGTAAAGTGTATGGTAGAGTTATTATTGAAAGAATTAAGAGTAAGACGGAGAATAGGATAGCAGATGAACAAGGAGGCTTTAGGAAAGGTAGGGGGTGTGTGGACCAGGTGTTTACAGTGAAACATATAAGTGAACAGTATTAGATAAGGCTAAAGAGGTCTTTGTGGCATTTATGGATTTGGAAAAGGCGTATGACAGGGTGGATAGGGGGGCAATGTGGCAGATGTTGCAGGTGTATGGTGTAGGAGGTAGGTTACTGAAAGCAGTGAAGAGTTTTTACGAGGATAGTGAGGCTCAAGTTAGAGTATGTAGGAAAGAGGGAAATTATTTCCCAGTAAAAGTAGGCCTTGGACAAGGATGTGTGATGTCACTGTGGTTGTTTAATATATTTATAGATGGGGTTGTAAGAGAAGTAAATGTGAGGGTCTTGACAAGAGGCGTGGAGTTAAAAGATAAAGAATCACACACAAAGTGGGAGTTGTCACAGCTGCTCTTTGCTGATGACACTGTGCTCTTGGGAGATTCTGAAGAGAAGTTGCAGAGATTGGTGGATGAATTTGGTAGGGTGTACAAAAGAAGAAAAAGGTGTATACAGGAAAGAGTAAGGTTATGAGGATAACAAAAAGATTAGGTGATGAAAGATTGAATATCAGATTGGAGGGAGAGAGTATGGAGGAGGTGAATGTATTCAGATATTTGGGAGTGGACGTGTCAGCGGATGGGGTCTATGAAAGATGAGGTGAATCATAGAATTGATGAGGGAAAAAGAGTGAGTGGTGCACTTAGGAGTCTGTGGAGACAAAGAACTTTGTCCTTGGAGGCAAAGAGGGAATGTATGAGAGTATAGTTTTACCAACGCTCTTATATGGGTGTGAAGCATGGGTGATGAATGTTGCAGCGAGGAGAAGGCTGGAGGCATGGAGATGTCATGTCTGAGGGCAATGTGTGGTGTGAATATAATGCAGAGAATTCGTAGTTTGGAAGCTAGGAGGAGGTGCGGGATTACCAAAACTGTTGTCCAGAGGGCTGAGGAAGGGTTGTTGAGGTGGTTCGGACATGTAGAGAGAATGGAGCGAAACAGAATGACTTCAAGAGTGTATCAGTCTGTAGTGGAAGGAAGGCGGGGTAGGGGTCGGCCTAGGAAAGGTTGGAGAGAGGGGGCAAAGGAGGTTTTGTGTGCGAGGGGCTTGGACTTCCAGCAGGTATGCATGAGCGTGTTTGATAGGAGTGAATGGAGACAAATGGTTTTTAATACTTGACGTGCTGTTGGAGTGTGAGCAAAGTAACATTTATGAAGGGGTTCAGGGAAACCGGCAGGCCGGACTTGAGTCCTGGAGATGGGAAGTACAGTGCCTGCACTCTGAAGGAGGGGTGTTAATGTTGCAGTTTAAAAACTGTAGTGTAAAGCACCCTTCTGGCAAGACAGTGATGGAGTGAATGATGGTGAAAGTTTTTCTTTCTCGGGCCACCCTGCCTTGGTGGGAATCGGCCAGTGTGATAATAAAATAATAAAATAAAAATATGATAACTAGTATATAATGTTAATATAACTAGTAGACAATGTTACTATGATACTAGTATACAATGTTGCTTTGTAATTATAAGAATTGACTGAATTACACAATGGCAATAATTAATATTAATAATTAAGGCACAACAACTTATCAGCAACAGATCGTCTGGCAACTTTTTTAAAAAGCCCGGTCAAAAATTACGAGACTAGTATTTTTGGCAAATAGTTTAGCTGGCAACCACAGATGGCACTGTATATAGTGCATGCTCACTTATGTTGTTTGCACTGCAACTGTTGGTGGTGATCCCTTGATTCTGTCAAATTCTCAATACAGTGGACCCCTGGTTCACGTTATTAATCCATTCCTGAGAGCTCATCGTAAAGCAAAATTATCGGAAAGCGAATCAATTTTCCCCATTAGAAATAATGGAAATCAAATTAATCCGTGCAAGACACCCAAAAGTATTAAAAAAAAACTTTTACCACATGAAATATTATGTTTAATGCAATAGGATAATCATAATAGAATAATTGACACTTACCTTTAATGAAGATCTGGTGATGATTGATGGGATGGAAGGAGGGGAGAGTGTCAAAGTTTTTAATGTTTAGAAGGGGAATCCTACTCCATTAGGACTTGAGGTAGCAAGTCTTTTTCTGGGGTTACTTCCCTCCTTCTTTCAATGCCACTAGGACCAGCTTGAGAGTCACTGGACTTCTGTCGCACAACATATCTGTCCATAGAGGCCTGTACCTCTCGTTCCTTTATGACTTTCCTAAAGTGGTTCACAACATTGTCAGTGTATAGGTTGCCAACACAGCTTGCAGTAGCTGTGTCAGGGTGATTTTCATTAATGAATAATAATCATTACTGATTGTTATTCATTACTTTAGGTTAAAGTAGGAGAGAATAAGTTAGGTTAGGTTAGGTTAGAGTAGATTAAATTAGATTAGATTAGATTAGATTAGATTAGATTAGTTTAGGTTAGATTAGGTTAGGTTTACCTGGAGTTCACCTGGAGAGAGTTCCGGGGGTCAATGCCCCTGCTGCCCAGTCTGTGACCAGGCCTCATGGTGGATCAGAGCCTGATCAACCAGGTTGTTACTGCTGGCTGCACTCAATCCAACGTACGAGCCACAGTCCGGCTGGTCAGGTACCGACTTTAGGTGCTTGTCCAGTGCCTGCTTGAAGACAGCCAGGGGTCTATTGGTAATCCCCCTTATGTATGCTGAAAGGCAGTTGAACAGTTTTGGGCCCCTGACACTTATTGTGTTGTCTCTTAATGTGTTAGTGACACCCCTGCTTTTCATTGGGGGGATGTTGCATTGTCTGTGGAGTCTTTTGCTTTCGTAGTGAGTGATTTTCGGGTGCAAGTTCGGAACTAGTCCCTCTAGGATTTTCCAGGTGTATATAATCATGTATCTCTCCTGCCTGCGTTCCAGGGAGTACAGGTTCAGGAACTTCAAGTGCTCCCAGTAACTGAGGTAGTTTATCTCTGTTATGTGTGCCGTGAAGGTTCTCTGTACATTTTCTAGGTCAGCAATTTCACCTGCCTTAAAAGGTGGTGTTAGTGTGCAACAATATTCCAGCCTAGATAGAACAAGCAACCTGAAAAGTGTCATCATGGGCTTGGCATCCCTAGTTTTGAAGGTTCTCATTATCCATCCTGTCATTTTTCTAGCAAATGCGATTGATACAATGTTATGGTCCTTGAAGGTGAGGTCCTCTGACATGATCACTCCCAGATCTTTGACGTTTGTTTTTCGCTCTATTTTGTGGCTGGAATTTGTTTTGTACTCGGATAAAGTTTTAATTTCCTCATGTTTACCATATCCATGTAACTGAAATTTCTCACCGTTGAACTTCATATTATTTTCTGCAGCCCATTAAAAGATTTGGTTGATACAATTAGGTTAGGTTAGGTTGGGATACCTTAGGGCAGATTACATTAGGTTAGGTTTAGGGTAGGTTAGATTAGGTTAAGTTATTTAGGGTAAGAGGCCCATTTGTGCCCATAAAAATGATCTCAAATGTACCTCAACATCAATTTTGGACAATTTTTGCTCACTATTAATATCATGCTGAAGTGAGACCTGAGTATAAAAAATTATAACATTGCTTAATTCTTTATTCTGTACAAATAATATAGTTTAAATGAAATAATATAATGGTAGGCACCAGAGAAAACCACCATATTGAGGTGGCCCGGTGGCCTGGTGGCTAAAGCTCCCGCTTCACACACGGAGGGCCCGAGTTCGATTCCCGGAGGGTGGAAACATTTCAACACGTTTCCTTACACCTGTTGTCCTGTTCACCTAGCAGCAAATAGGTACCTGGGTGTTAGTCGACTGGTGTGGGCCGCATCCTGGGGGACAAGATTAAGGACCCCAATGGAAATAAGTTAGACAGTCCTCGATGTCGCACTGACTTACTTGGGTTATCCTGGGTGGCTAACCCTCTGGGGTTAAAAATCCGAAAAAAATCTTATCTTATCTTACTTCTAATATTCTACAGACTTCACTAAGGCATTTGATAAATCAGGTCATGGAGTGATAGCCCATAAAATATAAATGTTAAAACAGGAAAAGTAGGAAAATGGATATTCACTTTTCTAAGGAATGGAACACAGATTAGTAAACAAAAAAACATGTAACTTTAGGAAAATAAAAACTACAATATGTGCAGGCACAGTCCTGAAGCCTTTACTGTCTCTCATCCTCAGGTCCTGGAGCCTTTACTGTCTCTCATCCTCAGGTCCTGGAGCCTTTACTGTCTCTCATCCTCAGGTCCTGGAGCCTTTACTGTCTCTCATCCTCAGGTCCTGGAGCCTTTACTGTCTCTCATCCTCAGGTCCTGGAGCCTTTACTGTCTCTCATCCTCAGGTCCTGGAACCTTTACTGTCTCTCATCCTCAGGTCCTGGAACCTTTACTGTCTCTCATCCTCAGGTCCTGGAACCTTTACTGTCTCTCATCCTCAGGTCCTGGAACCTTTACTGTCTCTCATCCTCAAGTCCTGGAACCTTTACTGTCTCTCATCCTGGAACCTTCGATCTCTCATCCTGGAACCTTCACTATCATCCTGGAACAGTCTCTCATCCTGGAACCTTCACTATCATCCTGGAACAGTCTCTCATCCTGGAACCTACACTGTCTCTCATCCTGGAACCCACACTGTGTCTCATCCTGGAACCCACACTGTCTCTCATCCTGGAACCTACACTGTCTCTCATCCTGGAACCCACACTGTCTCTCATCCTGGAACCTACACTGTCTCTCATCCTGGAACCTACACTGTCTCTCGTCCTGGAACCTACACTGTCTCTCGTCCTGGAACCTACGCTATCTCTCATCCTGGAACCTACACTGTCTCTCGTCCTGGAACCTACACTGTCTCTCATCCTGGAACCTACACTGTCTCTCATCCTGGAACCTACACTGTCTCTCATCCTGGAACCTACACTGTCTCTCATCCTGGAACCTACACTGTCTCTCGTCCTGGAACCTACACTGTCTCTCGTCCTGGAACCTACACTGTCTCTAGTCCTGAAACCTACAATGTCTCTCATCCTGGAACCCACACTGTCTCTCGTCCTGGAACCTACACTGTCTCTCATCCTGGAACCTACACTGTCTCTCATCCTGGAACCCACAGTCTCTCATCCTGGAACCTACACTGTCTCTCATCCTGGAACCTACACAGTCTCTCATCCTGGAACAGTCTCTCATCCTGGTACCTACACTGTCTCTCATCCTGGAACAGTCTCTCATCCTGGAACAGTCTCTCATCCTGGAACCTACACAGTCTCTCATCCTGGAACCTACACTGTCTCTCATCCTGGAACCTACACTGTCTCTCATCCTGGACCCTACACTGTCTCTCATCCTGGAACCTACACAGTCTCTCATCCTGGAACCTACACAGTCTCTCATCCTGGAACAGTCTCTCATCCTGGAACCTACACTGTCTCTCATCCACATAACAGACAGATATAACCAATGTAAATAAGTCACTTTGACCATGTTGGGTTATCCTAGGTTCTCTACATATATACTGCTATGTATGACTGCTATGTATGACTGCTATGTATGACTGCTATGTATGACTGCTATGTATGACTGCTATATATGACTGCTATATATGACTGCTATGTATGACTGCTATGTATGACTGTTATATATGACTGCTATATATGACTGCTATGTATGACTGCTATGTATGACTGCTATGTATGACTGCTATGTATGACTGCTATGTATGACTGCTATGTATGACTGCTATGTATGACTGCTATGTATGACTGCTATGTATGACTGCTATGTATGACTGCTATGTATGACTGCTATGTATGACTGCTATGTATGACTGCTATGTATGACTGCTATGTATGACTGCTATGTATGACTGTTATATATGACTGCTATGTATGACTGCTATGTATGACTGTTATGTATGACTGCTATGTATGACTGCTATGTATGACTGCTATATATGACTGCTATGTATGACTGCTATGTATGACTGCTATATGACTGTTATGTATGACTGCTATGTATGACTGCTATGTATGACTGCTATGTATGACTGCTATGTATGACTGCTATATATGACTGCTATGTATGACTTCTATGTATGACTGCTATATATGACTGCTATGTATGACTGCTATATATGACTGCTATGTATGACTGCTATGTATGACTGCTATGTATGACTGCTATGTATTACTGCTATGTATGACTGCTATGTATGACTGCTATGTATGACTTCTATGTATGACTGCTATGTATGACTGCTATGTATGACTTCTATGTATGACTGCTATGTATGACTGCTATGTATGACTGCTATGTATGACTTCTATGTATGACTGCTATGTATGACTGCTATGTATGACTACTATGTATGACTGCTATGTATGACTTCTATGTATGACTGTTATGTATGACTACTATGTATGACTGCTATATATGACTGCTATGTATGACTTCTATGTATGACTACTATGTATGACTGCTATGTATGACTGTTATGTATGACTGCTATGTATGACTGCTATGTATGACTGCTATGTATGACTTCTATGTATGACTGCTATGTATGACTGCTATGTATGACTGCTATGTATGACTACTATGTATGACTGCTATGTATGACTTCTATGTATGACTGCTATGTATGACTGCTATGTATGACTATGTATGACTGCTATGTATGACTGCTATGTATGACTGTTATGTATGACTACTATGTATGACTGCTATATATGACTGCTATGTATGACTTCTATGTATGACTACTATGTATGACTGCTATGTATGACTGCTATGTATGACTGCTATGTATGACTCCTATGTATGACTGTTATGTATGACTACTATGTATGACTGCTATATATGACTGCTATGTATGACTTCTATGTATGACTACTATGTATGACTGCTATGTATGACTGCTATGTATGACTACTATGTATGACTGCTATGTATGACTGCTATATATGACTGCTATGTATGACTGCTATATATGACTGCTATGTATGACTGCTATGTATGACTGCTATGTATGACTGCTATGCATGACTGCTATGTATGACTGCTATATATGACTGCTATGTATGACTGCTATGTATGACTGCTATGTATGACTGCTATATATGACTGCTATATATGACTGCTATATATGACTGCTATATATGACTGCTATGTATGACTGCTGTATATGACTGCTATATATGACTGCTATGTATGATGATCTATGTAACTGTACTTGTGTATACCTGAATAAACTTAATGAAGGTGATAACTTACCTGACGGAACATAACCTTGTTGACGGGGAAGGTGACAATAATATTGATGAACTGTGCTCCCCAGCCACACACAAACTCCCTGCTGTCATTACTGCTGTCAGGGGCTATTAGTGGGGCTTTACTGTTGCTGTCAGTGGCCATCTGTGGAGCCTGACCACTGCTATGCTTACCGTCAGTGGTAACAGAGGTATCCTGGGAAGGTGCTACACAGAACTGCCACAGAACTGACTTTCTGCTGGTAGAACTGGTGGGTTAGCTGCGGGATTTTCAAGGATAACTTGTGATTAAAGAGGATGACCATTATTATTATTATAATCAGAAAGAAGCGCTAAACCACAAGGGTTATATAGCAAGAGGCTGACCAGGTCACGACTGAATAGGACTCAGTGTGAATGTTCTGGGAAGATCCCCCCCCTCTCAAGGGAGGTTCCTAGATGCTGGTGACGGGCTCTTGATCTAGGGAATTGGATCTGTGCTCCAGTTCCCTGATTGACCCTGAATGCCTTCCATCCCCCCCCTACATGCGCTATATAATCCTATGGGTTTTATGGAAAATTACATTTACCTGGATGAATCTCATTACATACACACAAGTAAATGGCAACAAAGATAATTATTATTTATCAAAGTTACACGCAAGTTATACTTTTGTATCAATCAAATCACATATTACTCGGGTAGATAATTTCCAGTAGATCCTTCATGTGTTAGCTCAAATCACCGACCAGTATGGTTTAAATAAGTGACCCACTGATCAGATCAGATCGACTGGTCCGAACCCTTGACTGGTCCGAACCCTTGACTGGTCCGAACCCTGGACTGGTCCGAACCCTGGACTGGTTTCAAACGGTTTCGTTGGACAATAAAGCAGACTGTAAACGGATGGGGTTGTAGGCGCCCTTATAAACACAAACATTAAATATATATCAGGAACGTGCACGGTAAGCTGTCCAATATACAAAAACAGTTAGAAACAGAAATACAAATAGCTAGAGCTTCATTTAAGGAGGTTATTAATAGAATATTCAAGAGGTTGCTAGTAGAATTGCAGTAAATCAACCATTCAAATCACTATGAAGCTGTGTGTAGTCTGTGGTCAGTCAAACAAACGGGCTTCCACATGCATAAATTTTTGTGGAAATTGGTGTCACGCCCCTTGTGCAGATATCCAAGAACTAGCTACAAGCAGTATTAAAACAGGGAAGTGATTTTGGGTATGCCCAAATGAGATAAATCTGTGGACTAAAATCACAAGGGTATTAAAAGAGGTCAACATCAAAGCTGCTTTCATAGAAAACCTGGAAGCTTTCTACAACAGATGGGAACATAAAAAGTCTGGGCTGAATGGTACTGCCCTTGATACTGGCCATGTAGTCAGAAACTGTAAGGCTGGAGATGATGTCCTGGTAGTCAGTAAATGTGGGGCTGATAGTGCTGTCCTGGGGGACAGTAATGGTGAAGCTGGAGGTGCTGTCCTGGGAGACAGTAATGGTGAAGCTGGAGGTGCTGTCCTGGGAGACAGTAATGGTGAAGCTGGAGATGCTGTCCTGGGAGACAGTAATGGTGAAGCTGGAGATGCTGTCCTGGGAGACAGTAATGGTGAAGCTGGAGATTTTGTCCAGGTAGTCGGGAATTATACGCAGGAAGGAATACATATAAATGACCTCATAGGGGACAGGAGCCATAGTAGGGAAACAAGTGTAGTCAAAGATAAGATAAAACCAATATTACAAACTAGAAATACCGCAGGAAATAGCAAACAAGAGGACTCCACTAGCAATAGTGAGGATATATTACCAAAAACAACTGGTGGGAGCTCCATTGTTGGTGCTAGGGAGGATAGAAGTAAGACAGGGAAACATGCACCAACAGGGAATACAGTCACAGAAACCCAAGGCAAACGGAAACCAAGCCTGTGCACATACTATGCACTCGGTATCTGCTGGCATGGGAAATCTGGAAAAACAGATGGGACGTGCAACTATGACCACCCTAGAAAATGCCATGCCCATATGACAACAGGAAAATGCAAACTCCCTTCATGTAAGCTTTTTCACCCTGAACTGTGTACCTCTTCAGTACAGGAAAGACTGTGCTATAACTTAAATTGCCAGGCATACCATCTAAAGGGGACAAAAAGATACAAAACATCCAGGCCATGGGAAAACCTGGGTAGCCACAGCCACTCAAGAGGGAGAGGTTTTTTAGTGCCAGGAAGGAAAAAAAAACTGGCAGGAAATGGCAGAAATCGTACACCAAATCCAGTCATTATTGGAGTGGAACCACAGTCGATGGCCTCCACTCCAAACCAACAGATACAGATACTAATGCCGGAAAAAAATCCCCCCCAGTACCAACAATACCACCAGTCCGATAACACTCTTCTTTGCAAATATACAAGGTCTAAAGCCAGCAACAAACAACAAAATACCTTTCATCCGTGGACTGCTTGCAGAGGCAAAGGCAATGTTTGCGGCTTTCACTGAGACCCACATAAAGGATCACTTGGACAACGAAATATGGATCCCAGGTTACAACCTATACAGATGTGACAGAGTGAACAGGCAAAAGGGGGGGGGTTGGCCTGTACATTGCAGAGTCACTTGTTTGCACAGAACTGCTAAATGCCTCAAATGATGTAGTGGAAGTTTTAGCAGTAAAGGTCGAGAACCAAAACCTAGTCATTGTGGTAGTCTACAAGCCTCCGGATGCAACATCCCAGCAATTCCAGGAACAGCTGTTAAAAAATTTACCACTGTCTGGAAAATCTTCCAGCTCCTGCACCCAACATCTTGCTCCTGGGGGATTTCAACTTAAGGCACCTAAAATGGAGGAATATAGCAAATAATATTGTTGCAGTAATAACACCAGGAGGCAGCTCTGATGAAAACTCACACTCACGCGAGCTTTTAAATCTCTGCACAAAATTCAATTTAAACCAGCAAATAATAGAGCCTACTAGACTGGAGAATACACTAGACCTCATCTTCACTAACAATGATGATCTGATATGAAATGTCACCATATCAAAAACAATATACTCAGATCACAACATAATTGAGGTTCAGACATGTATGCACAGAGCCCCAGACCGACAAAATGAGATTAGTCACGAGGGAGTATTCACCAAATTCAACTTCAATAACAAAAACATAAAGTGGGACCAAGTAAACCAAGTCCTAACCAATATAAGCTGGGAAGATATACTAAGCAACACAGACCCCAACTTATGCCTAGAACAGATTAACTTGGTGGCACTCGATGTATGCACATGGCTTATTCCTCTAAGAAAAAGGAGGAGTAGATGTAAAATAGAAAGAGACAGGCGCTCCCTTTACAGGCGACGGAAAAGAATAACAGAGCGGCTAAAAGAGGTCAATATATCTGAAATGCGTAGGGAGACACTGGTCAGAGAAATAGCAAGCATCGAACTTAAGCTAAAAGAATCCTTTAGGAGTCAGGAATTGCGGGAAGAACTAAAAGCCATAAATGAAATCGAAAGAAACCCAAAGTATTTCTTCTCCTATGCCAAATCAAAATCGAGAACAACGTCCAGTATTGGGCCCCTACTTAAACAAGATGGGTCCTACACAGATGACAGCAAGGAAATGAGTGAGCTACTCAAGTCCCAACATGACTCAGTTTTTAGCAAGCCGCTAACCAGACTGAGAGTCGAAGATCAAAATTAATTTTTTATGAGAGCCACAAAATTTGATTAACACAAGCCTATCCAATGTTATCTTGACACCAAATGACTTCGAACAGGCGATAAATGACATGCCCATGCACTCTGCCCCAGGGCCAGACTCATGGAACTCTGTGTTCATCAAGAACTGCAAGAAGCCCTTATCACGAGCCTTTTCCATCCTATGGAGAGGGAGCATGGACATGGGGGTCGTCCCACAGTTACTAAAAACAACAGACATAGCCCCACTCCACAAAGGGGGCAGTAAAGCAACAGCAAAGAACTACAGACAAATAGCACTAACATCCCATATCATAAAAATCTTTGAAAGGGTCCTAAGAAGCAAGATCACCACCCATCTAGAAACCCATCAGTTACACAACCCAGGGCAACATGGGTTTAGAACAGGTCGCTCCTGTCTGTCTCAACTATTGGATCACTACGACAAGGTCCTAAATGCACTAGAAGACAAAAAGAATGCAGATGTAATATATACAGACTTTGCAAAAGCCTTCGACAAGTGTGACCATGGCGTAATAGCGCACAAAATGCGTGCTAAAGGAATAACAGGAAAAGTCGGTCGATGGATCTATAATTTCCTCACTAACAGAACACAGAGAGTAGTCGTCAACAGAGTAAAGTCCGAGGCAGCTACGGTGAAGAGCTCTGTTCCACAAGGCACAGTACTTGCTCCCATCTTGTTCCTCATCCTCATATCCGACATAGACAAGGATGTCAGCCACAGCACCGTGTCTTCCTTTGCAGATGACACCCGAATCTGCATGACAGTGTCTTCCATTGCAGACACTGCAAAGCTCCAGGCGGACATCAACCAAATCTTTCAGTGGGTTGCAGAAAACAATATGAAGTTCAACGATGAGAAATTTCAATTACCCAGATATGGTAAACATGAGGAAATTAAATCTTCATCAGAGTACAAAACAAATTCTGGCCACAAAATAGAGCGAAACACCTACGTCAAAGACCTGGGAGTGATCATGTCGGAGGATCTCACCTTCAAGGACCATAACATTGTATCAATCGCATCTGCTAGAAAAATGACAGGATGGATAATGAGAACCTTCAAAACTAGGGAGGCCAAGCCCATGATGACACTCTTCAGGTCACTTGTTCTATCTAAGCTGGAATATTGCTGCACACTAACAGCACCTTTCAAGGCAGGTGAAATTGCCGACCTAGAAAATGTACAGAGAACTTTCACGGCGCGCATAGCGGAGATAAAACACCTCAATTACTGGGAGCGCTTGAGGTTCCTAAACCTGTTTTCCCTGGAATGCAGGAGGGAGAGATACATGATTATATACACCTGGAAAATCCTAGAGGGACTAGTACCAAACTTGCACACGAAAATCACTCACTACGAAAGCAAAAGACTTGGCAGACAATGCACCATCCCCCCAATGAAAAGCAGGGGTGTCACTAGCACGTTAAGAGACCATACAATAAGTGTCAGGGGCCCGAGACTGTTCAACTGCCTCCCAGCACACATAAGGGGGATTAGCAACAGACCCCTGGCAGTCTTCAAGCTGGCACTGGACAAGCACCTAAAGTCAGTTCCTGATCAGCCTGGCTGTGGCTCGTACGTTGGTTTGCGTGCAGCCAGCAGCAACAGCCTGGTTGATCAGGCTCTGATCCACCAGGAGGCCTGGTCACAGACCGGGCCGCGGGGGCGTTGACCCCCGGAACTCTCTCCAGGTAAACTCCAGGTAAAACACCTAGGTCACAAAAATGTCCCCCTTCGATACCTACCATCTATCTCTCCACAAGTTGCTCTAGACCTATATTAATTGCAAATGAGATGTACATACACACCAGGAATTCTGGTAAAATTATTATAATTTTTGTGGACTGTATATTAAAATTAATAAATGATTACATATACACATTTATATAACAGAAGGAGAATTTATAATCATAACACTCACCAATTATTCTTGAGATTACTGCGTATAATACTCAAAAACCTCCGTCTAACTAAATTTATGATGATAATACTGGCCAGAATTGTAAACATATTTTAGATAGCTTATCTGAGGTTCCTGGAGCAGTCCTGTACATCTATTTAATGTTCAAATTATGCAGAAATGCACATCCAACAATTTTGTCTCCTATTTGAGAGGTGTAAGCCCAATATAACCTCTAGAGCGACGAAAATTCTTCTTGTTTTCACTAACGTTTTCTTTGCTCATTCAAAAACACAATGGCGAGTCTCTGCTCGACAGCGCAGGCGCCGAGCTTCCCATTTTTTATAATATAATTTTTATTAAATACAATATATTTTATTAATTTACATACAAATACACTATTTTCGGAAAATATACTATATATTTTCCACAAGTTTAGCCCTCCCCTATGATTATAACAATAATTTGGGAAGATTCCAGAGCAGCGAGAGGACATTTCCAGTGCATCGTTCCAGTGTAAATAATGGAAGTGTTGTGCAGTGTGTGAGGGTTGGGTGTGGTGAGAGTGTCCAGATTGGGACCAGGCATTTTTGTTGTTTAATATCTTTACTATGCACCCCATACCCATCCTGTGGGCGGTAGTCAAAGGATTACAGAGGTACATAATTGGTCCAGGGACTGGACTCCAAAGTTTTGATAGCTGAACAAGTTACAAAGGTAATGAACTAGATCTGGTCACAATCATGACAAAGTTACAAAGGTAATGAACTCCAAGTAGAGCTGGTCACACTCATGAATAATTACAAAGGTAATGAACTAGGTCACAATCATGACAAGTTTCAAAGGTAATGAATCATAAACACGTTAATACATGGTTACAGTCATGAACAATTTACAGAGTAATGAGCAATTATAAAACATTCTAAGGAATGCATGCATTGCCCCAACAACAGATGTTGCTAGGTGCCTGTCCCTCCTCGGCAGGGCAGCCAGACAGTCATTGCAAACAGCAGCAGGTTGTGCCAGGATCTGCTGCTTGCAGGAGCATCATCGACTCTCCCCAAGAGGTCGAAGAAGCCAGCGACTCCACTAGCAGCCTGAGGGAGAGTTGCACTGGGGACATGTCAACGTCCTGGTGGACGCCAATTTGATTGAAGATCCCAGTTCCTCTGCAAAGGTGAAGGCGCGGCAGCTATCACCTCTGTCTGTTGGGAGGGGCTATTGGTTGTTTCCACCTGGAGCCCTCCGGGTGCCCAGACACCCACCGTGTGCACGGATGTTGAAGCTTGAGGAACTGAGAGCACACTGCCTGTGGCACACCTGACAGCTGCCTCGCGGTCGAACTCCACGACGCTTTCCCTGCAGTGGAAGTTCCCGTGAACCCGGCACACCATGTGCCATCACTGACATCGTGGCCTGGGGGACCAGGCAATGCCTCCTCCCCCACGCTGCCCGGGAGGGGGCGGGGTGTGTAGGTGAAGATGAAGGGAACACTGGTTTTGGGAAGTCACATGCTCATATCCTTCATGATGTGCATGGGAAACAAATAAATGCTGTGTTTGTTGTAGGCAGGACAGTTTCAGTTTAATATCTTTATTATGCACCCCATACCCATACTTGCCACTAGTGTACTATTTGCTGATGATACTGTGCTTTTGGAAGATTCTGAACAGAAGTTGCATAGGTTGGTTAATGAGTTTGGTAGGGTATGCAAAAGAAGAAAATTAAAAGTGAATATAGGAAACAGCAAGGCGATGAGGATAAAAAAATATAGGTAACAGAAGATTGGATATCAGAGTGGAGGGAGAGAGTATGGAGGAGGTGAATGTATTCAGGTATTTGAGAGAAGACGTGTCAGCAAATGGGTTTATGAAAGATGAGGTGAATCATAGAACTGACGAGGGGAAAAAGGTGAATGGTGCACTGAGGAGTCTGTGGAGACAGAACTTTATCCATGAAAACAAAGAAGGGAATGTATGAGAGTATATTTATACTAACGCTCTTGTATGGGTGTGAAGCATGGGTGGTGAATGTTTCAACAAGGAGAGGGCTGGAGGCAGTGGAGTTAGTTTAATATCTTCATTATGCACCCCATACCCATCCTGTGAGTGATAGTCACTCCATACCTATCCTGTGGGTGGTAGTCAAACGATTACAGAGGTACATAATGGGTCCAAGGAAGAGCAACAAAGTTATGATAGATGAACTAGTTACAAAGGTAATGAACTCCAGGTAGATCTGGTCACAATCATGGCAAGTTACAAAGGTAATGAACCATCTACACTCCTATACATGGTTACAATCATGAACAGATTACAAAGTAATGAGCCTCTGACATGTCCACACCCGGTCACAATAATAATTAGTTATATATACAAATATTAAGTGAGTCACAAGAAGTCCAAGCAGTGGTACCTCAAAGGCAGTGGAGATATCATGTCTGAGGGCAATGTGTGGTGTGAATATAATGCAGAGAATCTGTAGTTTGGAAATTAGGAGGAGGTGCAGGATTACCAAAACTATTATCCAGAGGGCTGAGGAGGGATTATTGAGATGGTTTGGACATGTAGAGAGGTTGAAACGAAATAGGATGGCATCGAGAGTGTATAAATCTGTAGCGGAGGGAAGGCGGGGTAGGGATCGGCTTAGGAAAGGGTGGAGAGAGAGGGTAATGGAAGTTTTGTGTGCGAGGAGTTTGGACTTCCAGCAAGCATGCTTATATGTACCTGGTACATATAAGTACCAGGGCTGTACCAGCCGGGCTGTGGCTCGTACGTTGGATTGCATGCAGCCAGCAGCAACAGCCTGGTTGATCAGGCTCTGATCCACCATGAGGCCTAGTCACAGACCGGGCTGCGGGGGCGTTGACCCCCGGAACTCTCTCCAGGTAAACTCCAGGTAAACAATTATCATACCTAGTAACATATATGTAAATTACTCTTAAAAAGTCAGCCAAGAGGACGTATTTCCAATAGAGTCCTTGATAACCAGCCACTAGATTCGACTAACTCTTAGGAACCTATTTCCTGCTAAGTTAACCAGGATTCCTTGACGAGGAGTCAAGTAATAAACTCTGGTCTGATATTCCATGAATTTATTAGCAGATAATATTGCAGGTTTAGGAGAGGATGGGAACATCGCTGAAGACATCTCAGATGCTGCCGTGTACTGCTCGAAAACCACCACCTGCAGGGAAGCAAAGCTAAGTAAGTTTATTCAGGTATACACAAATACAGTTACATAGATTATCATACATAGCAGCATATATGTAAAATACCTACATCAGGAAGAAAATCATCAGGCAGACAAAATATAGATTCCCCTCCCCACACACACACAGGTCTTCACAGAAGAAATTCAGAGCTAACGGAGGACACAGGAGTGAGAAAATACCAACAAGAGCTACAAAGCAAAATAACAAGAGGTGGAACTATAAAAAGAATTTTTGCATAACAAAGGTATTGAGACCAGACAAAATATATCCAGAGAGGAACAGCAGAACAAGAATAACCCAAGAACTGAAGGTCTTCTACCATTCTCTTCAAACATGGCAGTGTGAGTAATGTGGAAAATAATTTCCCAAAATTATACTGTGTAAATAAACCTGATTAAAAGTGTATTTTAGAGAATGGAGTCGACAGGGAGGCTCTGCGCCTGCACTGACGAAGGGGTAGAGACGCCATTGTTTTTTTTAATGTTACGGGCACTTTAATGTAATGTGCTTAATATTCGTCGCTCTAGGGGTTATATTGGGTTTAAAACCTCTCAAATAGGAGCCGAAATTGTTGGATGTGCAGTCCTGCATAACTTGAGCATTAAACAGATGTACAAGACAACTCCAGGAACCTCAGATAAGCTATCTAAATTATGTTTGTAATTCTGGCCAGTATTATCATCATAAATTTAGTTAGAAGGGGGTTCTGTATATGACACACAATAATCCCCAGACTAATTGGTGAGTGTTATGAGTATAAATTCTCCTTCTGTTATATATATGTGTATATGTAATCATTTATTAATTTTAATATACAGTCCACAAATTTATATTAAATTTTATCAGAAATCCTGGTGATGTTTACCTGGAGAGAGTTCCGGGGGTCAACGCCCCCGCGGCCCGATCTGTGACCAGGCCTCCTGGTGGATCAGAGTCTGATCAACCAGGCTGTTACTGCTGGCTGCACGCAAACCAACGTACGAGCCACAGCCCGGCTGGTCAGGAACCGACTTTAGGTGCTTGTCCAGTGCCAGCTTGAAGACTGCCAGGGGTCTGTTGGTAATCCCCCTTATGTATGCTGGGAGGCAGTTGAACAGTCTTGGGCCCCTGACACTTATTGTATGGTCTCTTTAACGTGCTAGTGACACCCCTGCTTTTCATTGGGGGGATGTTGCATCGTCTGCCAATTCTTTTGCTTTCGTAGTGAGTGATTTTCGTGTGCAAGTTCGGTACTAGTCCCTCTAGGATTTTCCGGGTGTATATAATCATGTATCTCTCCCGCCTGCATTCCAGGGAATACAGGTTCAGGAACCTCAAGCGCTCCCAGTAATTGAGGTGTTTTATCTCCATTATGCGCGCCGTGAAGGTTCTCTGTACGTTTTCTAGGTCAGCAATTTCACCTACCTTGAAAGGTGCTGTTAGTGTGCAGCAATATTCCAGCCTAGATAGAACAAGTGACCTGAAGAGTGTCATCATGGGCTTGGCATCCCTAGTTTTGAAGGTTCTCATTATCCATCCTGTCATTTTTCTAGCAGATGCGATTGATACAATGTTATGGTCCTTGAAGGTGAGATCCTCCGACATGATCACTCCCAGGTCTTTGACGTTGGTGTTTCGCTCTATTTTGTGGCCAGAATTTGTTTTGTACTCTGATGAAGATTTAATTTCCTCGTGTTTACCATATCTGAGTAATTGAAATTTCTCATCGTTGAACTTCATATTGTTTTGTGCAGCCCACTGAAAGATTTGGTTGATGTCCGCCTGGAGCCTTGCAGTGTCTGCAATGGAAGACACTGTCATGCAAATTCGGGTGTCATCTGCAAAGGAAGACACGGTGCTGCGGCTGTCATCCTTGTCTATGTTAGATATGAGGATGAGGAACAAGATGGGAGCGAGTGCTGTACCTTGTGGAACAGAGCTTTTCACCGTAGCTGCCTCAGACTTGACTCTGTTGACTACTACTCTGTGTTCTGTTAGTAAGAAAATTATAGATCCATCGACCGACTTTTCCTGTTATTCCTTTAGCACGCATTTTGTGCGCTATTACGCCATGGTCACACTTGTCGAAGGCTTTTGCAAAGTCTGTATATATTACATCTGCATTCTTTTTGTTTTCTAGTGCATCTAGGACCTTGTCGTAGTGATCCAATAGTTGAGACAGACAGGAGCGACCTGTTCTAAACCCATGTTGCCCTGGGTTGTGTAATTTATGGGTTTCTAGATGGGTTGCGATCTTGCTTCTTAGGACCCTTTCAAAGATTTTTATATGGGATGTTAGTGCTATCGGTCTGTAGTTCTTTGCTATTGCTTTACTGCCGCCTTTGTGGAGTGGGGCTATGTCTGTTGTTTTTAGTAACTGTGGGACGACTCCCGTGTCCATGCTCCCTCTCCATAGGATGGTAAAAGCTCGTGATAGGGGCTTTTTGCAGTTCTTGATGAACACGGAGTTCCATGAATCTGGCCCTGGGGCAGAGTGCATGGGTATGTCATTTATCGCCTGTTCGAAGTCATTTGGTGTCAAGATAACATCGGATAGGCTTATGTTAACCAAATTCTGTGGCTCTCTCATAAAAAATTCATTTTGATCTTCGACTCTCAGACTGGTTAGTGGCTTGCTAAAAACTGAGTCATATTGGGACTTGAGTATCTCACTCATTTCCTTGCTGTCATCTGTGTACATTTCATTTGCAATTAATATAGGTCTAGAGCAACTTGTGGAGAGATAGGTGGTAGGTATCGAAGGGGGACATTTTTTGCGACCTACCTGGAGTTTACCTGGAGAGAGTTTCGGGGGTCAACGCCCCCGCGGCCCGGTCTGTGACCAGGCCTCCTGGTGGATCAGCACCTGATCAACCAGGCTGTTGCTGCTGGCTGCACGCAAATCAACGTACGAGCCACAGTCCGGCTGATCAGGAACTGACTTTAGGTGCTTGTCCAGTGCCAGCTTGAAGACTGCCAGGGGTCTGTTGGTAATCCCCCTTATGTGTGCTGGGAGGCAGTTGAACAGTCTCGGGCCCCTGACACTTATTGTATGGTCTCTTAACGTGCTAGTGACACCCCTGCTTTTCATTGGGGGGATGGTGCATCGTCTGCCAAGTCTTTTGCTTTCGTAGTGAGTGATTTTCGTGTGCAAGTTCGGTACTAGTCCCTTTAGGATTTTCCAGGTGTCCTAAAAATTCCTACTTGTCTCTGTAACTTTGATAAATAATAATTATCTTTGTTACCATTTACTTGTATGTATCTAATGAGATACATCCACGTAAATTTAATTTTCCACAAGTAATATGTATTTCTTTATAAGCGTCAATTCTTCTGGGTCTCTGTACATTACACTAGTGTTATTTAAACCCCCGCCCCGCCTAGACGTCGGCGGGAAAGCGACTCCCCAGTTCGATTCCGACCAGGGCAGGGGAAAAGTCGTGTGAGAAAGGCCGGGCTTGTCTTACTCTCCAATATAACAGTCTTTTATTTGTTATTGCTACCTCACTCGAACAACACTCCAAACAACAGTTGCGAAAAAACTGGTCCAGTGCAAGAAAATGAGTAAAGATGTACTGAATTACATGCCAGTATCATTAAAATACATTTTTTGAAAGGTTTTAAAGAAATTGCAAAGAAAAAGTTGTTAAAGCTTTGGAGAGGTTTTTCAGAAAAAACTAGGAAGGTTTAGGGGGATAAAATTCATTTCTTATAGATTTAGAGTTCCATGACAGCCACGAGATAAAACATGAACGACAAAGATGGATGGATTGCATTACCACCCTAGATAAGAGTCCAGAAATAAGATGATCAAGTGTTCCAGTGGGTCAGGAGTTCCTGACAAGAAGGCAGAGTAACAGTAAGGGATGACGCATCAAAATGGGAAAAAGTAACGGGTTAGGTCTCACAGGAGTAATTTTTTTACGACTGCTATTAGGAATCGACAGGGTAAACAAAAATAACCTGTTTGAGAGGAAGAGACTTGGAACAACCGGACAGCTGAGTGATTGCTACGATAGAATATTTAATTTTAGGGTCTTTTAAAGTGGATGAACTAGTGGTGGTGGGGGGGTCGAGGCTTCCTACATTCACAATTTCAAGAGTACGATAGAACCCGGAGGGACTCTTGACTAGTAGATGTCGGCTGAATTTATCTGAGATAAGGGAACAGGAGCACTGCATTAACTCTCGAAAACAACTCTTTGAGAAAACACACAAACACACACACGAGAGAGAGAGAGATAACTGGAATAATAACATAAATTTAATCATGAGCAGAGATATAATGTAAATTAATGATAGCACTGTGGATTTGACAAACCTCATTGGTTCCTTGCTGGAGCAACGGCGCCGGCAAGTACAAGGTCTTGGTGGGACCAACATGCCAGTAGCGACCCAGGTTAAAACCATTGATGAAGACAACACCCTTGTTCCAGGCTCTCATGTCCAGCCAAGTGTCTTGAGGTGTATCAGAGATGTCCAGAGTGGCGCGGTACACTGCAGGTGTCGCCAAGGAACCACTGAACTCCATCCATCCCGTCAGACTGTTACACCACACAAGATTATTATTTTAATTAATGAGAAGTGCTAAACCCATAAGTACGTGGGAAAGACAAGAGAGTACAGAGAACAAGGCTTGGAAGTCCACACCGAAGCTTTCTGCTGAGATTCTACTTCTATCTAGTTCAGTGGTTCCCAAACTGGGGGTAAATTACCCCCTGGGGGTAATTTAACCATTTTTGGGGGGTAATGGAGGGGTGACAGAAAAAAGTTATGAATTCTGAAAATCAAGAAAACAATGCGGTACCCGGTATGAGGATTATTGTTAACTTTGTCTTAGTATATAAAGTTGTAAAGTAAACCTATTATAAGTAAGTAATAAAGTTAAACCAAATAATAAACATCAAAAACTAATATACAATATTTGAAAAGAAGAAATATATAGCTAAGTGTGTGGAAACCCAAAAGCATTTTGACAAGTATGCTTCAGGACAAAAGTCACTCAGTAGCCCAGATCGCCCTGTCCAGTATGCGTCCTCACTTCCTGGGGCTGCCTCTATTTCACACTGTCAGTTTATCTGTGAGCATCGTCGAGGTAGACATAAGCTGGTATGTATGTGTACTGCCCTGTGCAGAAATATAGTTAGAAATTTACCCACTTTTACTGTGAATTTGTAGCTATTATTAATTTTATATACAATGTATGTGTGGTTCTTACGTTTTCAATGGTTTTGCTAGGATTAGCAGAGTATGCGAGGCTGTATACGTTCACGTTTAGCCATATATATCAATAATAACAACATTTTGTGAAAGGGGTAACATGCTTTATGTGGCATGTTAAATTGGGTAACAAGCTGAAAAAGTTTGGGAACCACTGATCTAGTTGATGCTGGTGAGGGGCTCTTGATCTAGGGAATTGGATCTGTTATCCAGCTCCCTGAATTAAACCTGAATACCTTCCACTTTCCCCCCAGGCGCTGTATAATCCTACTGGTTTAGTACCTCCCCCTTGATTATAATAATAATAATACGTCTAATTAGATTAATAACAAGCGTTGAAGATGATAATAAAGATATTAAACTAGACGTATATTATCTAGGTGTGTGACTCAAGGCGAGAGAAGCAGTAAGGGCCATACAGTAGCTCTATATCCTTTCATCAACACCTTATTATTATTATTAAAGATTAGCCGGTATTCTCCCGGCCCGGGCCTTTTCCAAGTGGTGGCCCGGCCTTGACTCCCTCTTTAGAGAGTGTCTGAGACCTAAGTCTCCCATGGGAGGAGGTACAATTACCTCCTCATCTTTGGGACCAACTGTCCCCAGGCCTAGCCACAAGCTAGGCCTCTCTAGTCCGCCACCCCCGCCCCAAGGGGGCAAATGGGAATGACAGTCTTATAAGCTAAAGGCTCGGGCTCAGGCACCTACCCTACCCTAGAAGGGTTAGGCATGGTATCGATCCATCAACACCTTTCACCACCAAGGCTCTCATTCAAGGGTAAGGCGAGACAGTTAGCAAAGGCGGAAAATATGGAAATGTGGTGTAAAGTTTCCTCGCCAGTGTGATGGCTATTTGTGATTCAGATTAATATTCATGAATACTATTAATAGTTATAAATAACATTAACATCCGAGAATAATATTAACATTTGTGGATAAAATTAACTTTGTGAATAATATTGTCATGTAAATTAATTTTGGGAGTTGCATTTAATTAGAACTGACATTACTGTATGTGTTATTAGCATCACTGGGACTGGTAATTAACGTAAATAAAGAGTGAGTGAGTACCTGGAGTTTACCTGGAGAGGGTTTCTTGGGTCAACGCCCCCGCGGCTCGGTCTGAGACCAGGCCTCACGGTGGATCAGGGTCTGATCAACCAGGCTGTTACTACTGGCCGCACGCAAGCTGACGTACGAACCACAGTCAGGGGTCTATTGGTAATCCCCCTTATGTATGCTGGGAGGCAATTGAGCAGTCTTGGGCCCTGGACACTTATTGTGTTGTCTCTCAATGTACGCGTGGCACCCCTGCTTTTCATCGGGGGAATGTTGCATCTCCTGCCGAGTCTTTTGATTTCATAAGGAGTGATTTTCGTCTGCAAGTTTGGTACCAATCCCTCCAGGACCTTCCAAGTGTATATTATCATGTATCTCTCTCGCCTGAGTTCCAAGGAATACAGATGAAGGACCTTCAACCGTTCCCAGTAATTTAGGTGCCTTATCGCACTTATGTGTGCACTGAAAGTTCTTTGTACACTCTACAGGGGTGTGGCCCGGTGGTCTGGTGGCTAAAGCTCCCGCTTCACATACGGAGGGCCCGGGTTCGATTCCCGGCGGGTGGAAACATTCGACACGTTTCCTTACACCGGTTGTCCTGTTCACCTAGCAGCAAATAGGTACCTGGGTGTTAGTCGACTGGTGTGGGTCGCATCCTGGGGGACAAGATTAAGGACCCCAATGGAAATAAGTTAGACAGTCCTCGATGACGCACTGACTTTCTTGGGTTATCCTGGGTGGCTAACCCTCCGGGGTTAAAAATCCGAACGAAATCTTATCTTATCTTATTCCAGCCTAGAGAGCACAAGCGATTTGAAGAGAATCGTCATGGGCTTGGCATCCCAAGTTTTGAAGGTTCTCATTATCCATCCTATCATTTTCCTAGCAGATGAGGTAGATACATTGTTGTGGTCTTTGAAGGCAAGATCCTCTGACATTATCACTCCCAGGTCCTTCACATTACTTTTCCGCTCTATTGTATGGTTAGAATTTGTCGTATACCCTGATACATTTTTAATTTCCTCAAGTTTCCCATATCTGAGTAGTTGAAATTTCTCCGCGATGAACTTTATATTGTTTTGAGTGGCCCATTCGAAGATTTGGTTGATGTCCGCTTGGAGTCTCCCGGTGTCTTCGATGGAGGTCACTGCCATTGTAATCCGGGTGTCATCCGCAAAGGAAGACACGGAGCTATGACTTACAGTTCTGTCTATGTCAAAATGAGGATGAGGAATAGAATGGCGACAGGTACTGTGCCTTGTGGAGCAGAACTTATTACCGTGGCGGCCTGGGACTTTGCTCTGGGCATGTCGTTTATTACCTCTTCGAAGTCATGTGGAGTTAGGATAATATCTGAGATTTTTGAGATGACCAAATTTTGGGTTTCGTTCATAAAGAATTCATTTGGATTGTCGACCCTTAGAGTGGGCAGTGGATCGCTGAACACTGAGTCATATTGGGACTTTAGTATCTCACTCATTTCTTGGCTATCATCTGTTTATGTCCCATCCCACGTAAGCAGGGGCCCAATACTGGTTGTTGTTTTTTCCTTAGATTTGGCATGAGAAAAGAAGTGTTTTTTTTTTCACTTCCTTTATAGCTATGAGTAGGTTATAGCTATGAGTAGGTTATAGTAGTGCCCGTTCAATGGTCTAACCATTGAACCCTGTATCAGTTGCATATTCTACTGTCTTAGAGTACACCCAAGAATCTAGTGCAGTTTAAGTCATAATCCAGTCACTAAAATATCAATTGTCTTCAGGTACCATTCTCCTCTTGCACGTGACCGATGAGTAGAAGGCTCACAGGGGTCAGATTAACCTAGAAGAGTCACAGAAGAAACTTTAGCTAGGGACAGCCTCCATTTTCTCATAAATTCTGTTCCATTTTCGTGCACGCGGAGGTGGGACTCTGCTAGTCCGTCCCATTTGTACTAGCAAAGACGAATAAACAGTGGAGACTTGTGAGTGCAGAGTTGTTAATTTTTGCATCAGCAGCGTCAGTAGTGACTGCCTCAGAGTCGAGCACCTCACAGGTTCCCACAGTTATGAAATACGTGCGAGTAATTAGGACCCCAATGGAAATAAGTCACTTTGTGTTACTGCTATGTATGATAACCTATTTAACTGTATTTATGTGTGCCTGTATGTGAATACAGTGTGTTAGTCGACTGGTGTTGGTCGTACCAATGAAAATAAGACAGTCCCTCGATGACGCACTGACTTTCCTTGGGTGATCCTGGTCTAGAAATCCGAACAAAATCTTCTTCTTACACCCACCTTAAAATACCCTACGGTACATGGCTCGTTGGTCACCCCAAATCAGTAATAATGTGGTTCTGGTAACAAGAATTAGAGGAACCATCCGGAAAGGCAACCTTCTCGTCTGATGTTTTGTCTCGCTGTCGCCATCTTCACAGGTTTACAACACAATACACCTTTACTTCTTCCACATCTCATTACAGTTATACTGTTTTGTTAATTTTTTGGACGAGTTTCCTGTACTCTTTGCAATAAAAGTATAACAACGGCTTTGATCTGAGTCAGATTAATATGCTATTTTCCATCAGACCTACTGTTATATTTTGGCTATCAATTTTATAAGTGTCAGGGGCCCAAGACTTTTCAACTGCCACCCAACATACATAAGGGGATTACCAACAGACCCCTGGCTGTCTTCAAGCAGGCTCTGGACAAGCACCTAAAGTCGGGCTGTGGTTCGTACGTTGGATTGCGTGCAGCGGCAGTAACAGCCTGTTTGATCAGGCCCTGATCCACCATGAGGCCTGGTCTCAGAGCGGGTCGCGGGGGCGTTGACCCCCGGAAGTCTCTCCAGGTAAACTCCAGGAAGTTGGGTATGGGAAAGCATACTCTCTTGACTGTGTTGGATACACACGACACAAGACACCTCATGGAGATACTCTTTGTCCCTCTCTGCAAGGACTGTCAGGTTGTGCTATCAGTTCACCATTTAAAACTCGCACTATTCTAGTCTCAGTGATTAATCCTTATTGAAGACATCTTTTCAATTAAGCATTGTAATGCCTATACAAGTTTATCATGTGTTATTATGATGATGATGATGAAAAAATAATAATGTAAATACCTCTGAGCATTACACCTCTGAACACCTAGCCAACATTACTCACTGTAAACACTTGCTCAACGTTACCTCACCTATTGACCATGTCTGCCTTGAACTCCAGCGGATACATAATCCAACTATTGATCTGAAGGTCATCTATAAGCACAGGTCCTTCCCAAAGCCCCTTCTTCTGATTATATTTGTCGGGCGTGCCGTAGTTGACCCTTGCCAAGTTCTCCACCAGGATGGTCACCTCTGCTACAGCGTCATCGCCAGGCAAGGTCAGCTCCTTATCACTGCCAGGGCACGAAAGTTTGTGTCTTAGCCAGATGCAGTACTAATATGTCCAGCGGTCAAAATAATTGGTTAATATTCTAACAACGATAACAGGAAGTCTCATTTAAGGATTAATAAAACTGTTATGCTCAACATGACTCACGAAGGTCAGAGAAGTGGCAGATGCAGTTTAATATTGACAAATGCAAAGTTTTAAATGTTGGACGGGTAAATAACCATGCGACATATAAACTAAATAATGTAGATCTTAATACTACTGATTGCGAAAAGGATTTAGGAGTTCTGGTTAGTAGTAATCTGAAACCAAGACAACAGTACATTAGTGTTCGCAATAAAGCTAACAAAATTCTTGGCTTCATATCTAGAAGTATAAATAATAGAAGTCCTCAGGTTGTTCTTCAATTCTATATTTCCTTGGTTAGGCCTAATTTAGACTATGCTGCTCAGTTCTGGTCACCGTATTACAGAATGGATATAAATGCTCTGGAAAACGTACAGAGGAGGATGACAACGATGATCCCATTTATCAGAAATCTTCCCTATGAGGATAGACTGGGGCCCTGAATCTGCACTCTCTCGAGAGGCGTAGAAAATTTGGGGGATATGATCGAGGTGTTAAATGGAAAACAGGAATAAATAAAGGGGATGTAAATAGCTTGCTGAAAATTTCCAGCCAAGACAGGACTCGCAGCAATGGTTTCAAGTTGGAAAAATTCAGATTCAGGAAGGGTATAGGAAAGCACTGGTTTGGTAACAGAGTTGTGATGAGTGGAATAACTTCCCCATACAGTTATTGAGGCTAAAACGTTGTGTAGTTTTAAAATAGGGTTAGATAAATACATGAGTGGGTGTGGGTTTTGGGTGGGTGTGAGTTGGACCTGCCTAGCTTGGCTGCTGTGGGTGGCGCCGGCTCCTTCCTTGAGTGGAGGTGACCAGACTGGGTGGGTCATTGGGCTAATCCGGGGGGGGTGGGTCATTGGGTTAATCCGGGGGGGGGGACATGAACCTGCTCCGCATGGGTCAGTAGGCCTGTTGCAGTGTTCCTTCTTTCTTAGGTTCTTATGAAATCGTAATGACACGATTGCAAACAAACCATACCACGGGTGGGGATAGAACCCGCGGTCAGAGAGTCTCAAAACTCCAGACCGTCGCGTTAGCCACTGGACCAGCTAGCCACAATAAGATTCGTCCAACTAGGTATATTTCTGCACCATAGGAAGGTTAGCATAGGCACCACTGTGACCACAAATGCAAGTTTTTACAGACGAATCTCCAGCTAGCGTGGCCGTGACGAACTCTAGCTCAAGTCCCCCCAAAGCCGTCAACATGACCTAGTTGGACGAATCTTATTGTGGCTAGCTGGTCCAGTGGCTAACGCGACGGTCTGGAATTTTGAGACTCTCTGATCACGGGTTCTATCCCCACCCGTGTTATGGTCTGTTATGCTCACATTTTTCTTACAGCATTTGAGAAATGCGAGGTAATCAGATGTGATCCAAGGAATGGAAGAGTGCATAAAGCTCTTCGAATCCAGATCTCTTGCACGGCAGCTAGGCTGCTATATTACAAATAATATTAATATGCCGATGAGAAAAAATGTTAACAAAGGTATGGGTTTGACAGGCTTTAATCTCTACGTTAGTGCCCCTTTGACTAGCGATCCTGTGGATGATCTCTTGATCTTTCTAATGCTAGTGAAGAGTTCATGATCCGGGAAATTAAAATTTAAAAGCTTTCTCTGTTCATTAAATATTGATAGTCTCCTTTCCCCCCAAGCGTGAATAGCCTTAAGGATTTAGCGCTCCTTTCGAACACAAAAGTAAGTTCATCCGGGGTACATAAATTTGGATTTACTCACAGCCCACCCCAGAAGCCGAACTTGTGATGTCGAGGGGGTTTACTTTTGGGTTTTGGTGAGACCTGCCCTTTGACCCATTGTGCCATGCCCCTGCGGGTAAAAAGTTAGACGGGGCCCAAAGGCTGCAAAAGTATTAAATACTACTTATGATATGCCCCAGAGGTGGAGTTTGGATGGGGCCCAAAGGGCGCAAAGTATTAAAACTACTTAGGTATGTCCCAGGGGTGAAGTTGGGTCGGACCGGCTGCAAGGTATTAAAACTACTTATGATATGTCCCAGGGGGAAAATTTGGGTCGGGCCCAAAGGGCTGCAAGCATTAAATACTACTTAGAAACCAGGAGGGAGAGTTAAAGGGCGGCCAACTGCAAGAGATTAAAAACTAAAAGGGGTCAATATACTAAAATGGTAGGGAGCCCGGGTCAGAGAAATAGCAAGCTCAAACTTAAGCTAAAAGAACCCCTTTGGATCAGGAATCGGGGGAAGAAAAAACCATAAATAAATCGAAAAAAAACCCAAAGTTTTTCCTCTCCTACCAAAACCCAAAATCGAGAAAAACGCCATTTTTGGGGCCCCACTTAAAAAAGTGGTCCACACAGAGACAAAAAGGGAAATGATGAGCTACTCAAGTCCTAACTAGTTTTTAGCAACCCGCTAAACCCAGACTGAGAGTCGAAGATCAAAAAAATTTTTTTTGGGGAAAGCACAAAATTTTTTAACACAAGCCTATCGATGTTATCCTGCGCCAAATGACTTCGAAAAGGCGAAAATGACATGCCCATGCACTCTGCCCCCGGGGCCCAAATCATGGAAATCGTGTTCATCAAAAACTGCAAGAAGCCCCCCTCACGAGCCCTTTTTCCCTCCCAGGAGAGGGACATGGCACGGGGGTCGTCCCCCCGTTACTAAAAACAAAAGAAAATAGCCCCACTCCCAAAGGGGGGAGTAAAGCAACAGCAAGAAATACAGACCAATAGCACTAACACCCCATCTAAAAATCTTTTTAAGGGTCCCAAGAAACAAGATCACACGAAACTAGAAACCCCTCATTTTCACAACCCAGGGGAAAATGGGTTTTAGAAAAAGGTCGCTCCTGCGTCTCAACTATTGGGCCACTACGACAAGGTCCTAAATGCACTAGAAGCAAAAAAAATGCAGATGTAAATTTCAGACTTTTCAAAAGCCTTCGAAAAGTGTGACCCGGCGTAATAGCGCACAAAAAGCGTGCAAAGGAATAACAGGAAAATCGGTCATGATTATAATTTCCTCACTAAAAAACACAGAAGATCGTCAACGAGTAAAATCCGAGGGGACTACGGTGAAAACTCTGTTCCCCAAGGCACGTACTCGCTCCCCCTTTTCCTCATCCTTTTTATCCCCTAGACAAGGATGTCGCCCCGCACCCGGCTTCCTTTGCAGATGAACCCCAACTTTCATACAGTGTCTTCCATTTCAGACACTGCAAAGCCCCAGCAGACATCAACCAAAACTTTCAGTGGGCGCAGAAAAAAATATGAAGTTCAACGAGGAAAATTTTAATTTCTCAGATATGTAAACATGAGGGAAATTTAAACTTCATCAAGTACAAAACAAAAATTTTGGCCACAAAATAGAGCGAAACACCAAGTCAAAGACCCGGGAGTGACATTCGGAGGGTCTACCTCAAGACCATAACTTGTATAAAACGCATCTTAGAAAAATGACAGGAGGATAAGAGAACCTTCAAAACTAGGAGCCAAGCCCCTGATACCCTCAGGGCACTTTTTCTATCTAGGGGGAATATTGCGAACAACAGCACCTTTCAAGGGGGTGAAATTGCCGACCTGAAAAGTACAGAAATTTCAGGCGCCAAACGGAGTAAAACACCTCAATTTTTGGGAGCGTTGAGGTTCTAAACCTGTATTCCGGGAAGCAGGAGGGAAGAACATGATTATATACACCGGAAAATCCAAAGGGGGACTAGTCCCGAACTTGCATCAAAAAAACCACCCACTACGAAGAAAAAGATTTGGCAACGAGCACCATCCCCCCAAATGAAAAGCAGGGGTGTCATAACTTTAAGAACCTACAATAAGGTCAGGGGCCCGAGACTTTTCAACTGCCTCCCCAGCAAATAAGGGGGATTACCAACGCCCCCGGGGCGGTCTTAAAGCTGGCACTGGACAAGCACCTAAAGTCATTTTTCCGGATCACCGGGCTGTGGCCGTATTTTGGTTTGCGTGCACCCAGCAGCAACAGCCCGGTTGATCAGGGCCCGACCACCAGGAGGCCTGGTCTCAGACCAGGGCCCCCGGGGGGCGTTGACCCCCGGGGAAAAACTCTCCAGGTAAACTCCCGGGATAGTCCCAGGAGGTGAAGGTTTGGTCAGGGCCAAGCTGAAGAGTAATAAATATACTTATATATGTCCCCGGAGGTGAGAGTTGGTCAGGGACCAAGGGTGCAAATATAAATCTACTTTTTGATATGTCCCAAGGGGAGAGTTTTGGGCAGGGGCCAAGGTGCAAGAGAGAAATACTACTTTTTGATTGTCCCAGGAGGTGAGAGTTGGGGCAGGGACCAAAACTGCAAGAGTTTTTAATACTACTTAGATTGTCCCCGGAGGTGAGATTGGATCAGGGGCCAAGATGCAAGAGATAAAACTACTTATGTATGCCCGGAGGTGAGAGTTGGGTCAGGGACCAAGACGCAAGATATAAAAAACATTATGATTGTCCCCGGAGGTGAGAGTTTGGGTCAGGGACCAAAACTGCAAAGAGTATTAAATACTACTTAAAGATATGTCCCCCGGGGGGAGGGGTTGGGTCAGGCCCCAAAACTCAAGAGTATTAAATATATTTGAATTTTCCCCAAGGTGAGAGTTGATGGGGCCAAGATGCAAAGTATTTAATACTATTATATATTTCCCCGGGGTGAGAGTTGGATCAGGGACCAAGGCTGCAAGAGTATGAAATACTACTTATGATATGTCCCAGGAGGTGAGAGTTGGGTCAGGGACCAAGGCTGCAAGAGTATGAAATACTACTTATGATATGTCCCAGGAGGTGAGAGTTGGGTCAGGGACCAAGACTGCAAGAGTATTAAATACTACTTATGATATGTCCCAGGAGGTGAGAGTTGGATCAGGGACCAAGACTGCAAGAGTATTAAATACTACTTATGATATGTCCCAGGAGGTGAGAGTTGGGTCAGGGACCAAGACTGCAAATGTATATAGTTAACCATCACCTGTGATGTCCCTGTGTAACGTAACACAGATACAGTCTACCACTCAATTATATTAATATACAGTGATGCTTTTGTGATAAATTTCCTGAGGTTTTATACCACACATTCATGTAGCCGAACATTATTAAATGTAATTCCTCCCAGAATATTACCAAAAATTTTGAGCTAATGTCCCGAAGGAAAATTGAACCTTACCCTTCAATCTTATAGGTTTACAAGAAATTAAACCTCCCGCTAATCAAACACAGGTGAAAAAAATAGAGGAATGCGTAACCTTACAGAAATTCGTCAAAAATCCTTAATGGGAGGGAAAGCAAAACTTCAGTGGTGTTCAAAAAATATTTCCAAAAGTTAAAGTACAAATTAATGACGTCTCTAGTATTAGTTACAACAGTTGTATAAATGAAAATTAAATAATATGGCCGTGCCAGTGACTAACATGTTGGAACTGTACTGGTACAGAAGGGAACATCCCATTAATAATAATAATAATAATAATAATAATAATAATAATAATAATAATAATAATAATAATAATAATAATAATCATTATTTCTACAAGTACAAGGTATACAGGCCTAGATGACAACAATGACATACCACTATATAGAAAGCCCCTTGTTATGTATAGCATTTCGGGCAAATTAGGTCAATTTTCTTGACTGTGGCACTTGAGATATGCTCAAGGCACATTTCTTTAAGAAGAAAGATGTAAACTAAAGAGAGACGCTCCCTATACAAGCAAAGGCGAAGAATCACAGTGCTACTAAAAGGGGCTAGTATATCTGAACTACAAAAGGAGGCATTGGTCGGAGAAATAACAAATATCGAACTTAAGCTAAAGGAATCAGACAGGAGACAAGAAACACGGGAAGAACTTAATGCCGTAAATAAAACTGAAAGAAACCCAAAATACTTCTTTTCTTATGCCATATCAAGGGCAAAAACAACAGCCAGTATTGGACCTTGTTAGATGAGATGGGACTTACACAGATGACAGCAAAGAAATGAGTGAGATACTGAAGTCCCAGTACGACTCGGCGTTTAGTGAGCCGCTAACCAGACTAAGAGTCGACAATCTTTATGATTTTTTTATGAGAGAGACTCAAAATTCGGTTAATTCAAAAAATTTTGATATTATCTTAACACCACAAGACTTTGGAAAAACAATAAATGACATGCCCAGACTCGTACAACTCCGTTTCTTAAATAACACACAGGCACAATACCATGATTGGAACAATACATAAATAACCCGTACATAGGAGAGACGAGTAATTTGTGTATATGTCCGTGTTCATCAAGGACTGCAAGAAGCCCCTGTCACGTGCCTTAAGCATTCTGTGGAGAGAGAGCATTGAAACAGGGGTCATCCCACTGTCACTAAAAACAACAGACATAGCCCCACTCCATAAAGGTGGCAGTAATGCATTTGTAAAGAATTACAGACTAATAGCACTAACATCCCACGCCATAACAATTTTTGAAATTGTTCTAAGAAGCAAGATCGCCAGGCATTTAGATACCCATCAGCTGCACAACCCTGGGCAGCATGGGTTTAGAGCAGGTCGCTCCTGTCTGTCCCAACTACTGGACCACTATGACAAGATCTTAAATACTCTGGAGGACAAACAGAATACAGATATAGTATACCGAGACTTTACGAAAATCTTCGACAAGTGCAACCATGACGTAGTAGCGCACAAAATGCGTGATAAAGGAATAACAGGAAAAGTTGGTAGATGGATCTAAAACTGCCTAACGTACAGTACACAAAGAGTAAAAGTCAGTAATAAAGTAATGTCAGGGTGGCTACAGTGAAAACCTCTGTTCCACAAGGTACAGTACACGTTCCCACCCTGTTTCCCATCCTCATATGTGACATAGACAGAGACGTAAGCCACAGCACCCTGTCTTCCTTTGCGGATGTCACCCCGGATTTGCATGATAGTATCACCCATTTAAGACACTGAAAATCTCCAAGTGGACATTAACCAAATCTTAAATGGGCCTCAGAAAACAAGATGAAGATCAATGAGGACAAATTTCAATTACTTCGCTATGGAAAACTCGAGGAAAATAAAAGAGTATAGAAGTATAAAACAAATTCCAATCACACAATAGAGCAGAAAAACTAATATGAAGGACCTGGGAGTGATAATGTCAGAGGATCTCACTCTCAAACATCACAATAATGTATCTACCAAATCTGCTTGGAAAATGAAAGGATGGATAATGAGAACCTTCAAAACTAGGGATACCAAGCTCATGAAGATTCTCTTCATATCGCTTGTTCTTTCTAGTCTGGAATATTGCTGTACACTAATGGCCCCTTTCAAGGTAGGCGAAATTACAGACCTGGAGAATGTACAGAGAACTTTCACGGCACGTATAAGTATAATAAAGCAACTAAATTACTGATTAGTACTCCCTGGAACACAGGTGAGAAAGATACATGATAATATAAACTTGGAAAAACCTAGAGGGACCTAGTCCCAAATCTGCACACGAACACTTAGTCAGTACCTGATCAGCCGTGATGTGGTTCTTACGTCGGTTTACGTGCGGCCAGCAATAACAGCCTGGTTGATAAGACCCTGATCCACCAAGAGACCTGGTCTCAAACCGGGCCGCGGGGGCGTTGACCCCCGAAACTTTCTCCAGATATCTCCAGGTATACTGGCTGTGTCACTATACTGGCTGTGTCACTGTATTGGTTGTGTCACTAAACTGGCTGTGTCACTATACAAGTTATGTCACTATACTGGCTGTGTCACTCTACTGGTTGTGTCACTATAGCCTCGTATCTCTAGCATGGTTAAAGGATGTAGGTGTGATCCTGACCTGACTTGACCTGACCAGAGGAACCTTTACTAACCTGACATGGCCTTTTATCATGAGCGTGGCATTAGGGGCAGCCAGGTAAACAATGGTGCTGTAGACGATGTAACCATGTGCTTGACCACTGTCATCATTAATAGGCAGTAATTCCATGCTGACAGGACCATCCTCCGTCTCGATGCTGAGGTGCTGAGAGACAGGTATCAGAGACTTTGTTATTAGTAGCGGAAGCGAGGGAGAGACAAGTTAATATCAGTTAATATCAGGGGGAGAGATACACTTATTAATAAGGTGAGTCCGATAAATTCATTTATTAACACTGGAACTGAAAGAGAAAATAATCGACTTGGGAAATAGGAGATGCGTTTAATAACACGGGAAGTGCGAGAATCAGTAACACGGGAAGCTGGAGAGAATAATTAACACGGAAGGTGAGAGTCATAGCATGTTAAATTTTAGAGCATTTTATCGAGAAGACGTTTTGGCCAATAGGGACTTTATTAGTCCCTATTGGCCAAAAAAGGGGGAGAGAGGAGAGAGAGAGAGAGAGAGAGAGAGAGAGAGATGAGAGAGAGAGAGGAGAGAGAGAGAGAGAGAGAGAGAGAGAGAGATAGAGAGAGAGAAATAGAGATTTGTTGCATGCAAGCATCAGAGTTCCTCTGCCTGGTTACAACAATCGGGACTCGAGTTCCTTATAAAGAGTTTTGAGTGATCCTTGATCGTGGGAAGGGAAATACCTTGGTGAAGTGTGGGGGGACGTGTGTGACTGTTGACGGTGGGGACAGTGTGTGACTGTGTGTAACAGGTGGGACAGTATGTGCAGTGTGGGGCGGGGGTGAGAAGTGTGTGACAGTGGGGGGGCATTTGGGGGGACAGTGTGGGCACTTTTCCCACGCGTCCCACCTGTTCCCACTTTTTCACACTGAAACCACTGTCACACACTTCCCACGCTGTTACACACTTTTTCCACCGTCCCACCCCATCACAACAGAGTGACAGTTTTGGGGACAGGTTGGCAGTGTGTGACTGTGTGACAGTGTGTGACAGTTTTTTACAGTGTGGGGCTTTTGGGGACGTATGAGACGGTGTGACTGTGTGACAGTGTGGGACAGTAGGGACGAGGGGCAGTGGGGGACGTTGTACAGTGTGGGGCGTGTGTGACAGTGTGTGACAGTGTGGGGCAATGGGGGAAGTGTAGACATGTGTGACAGTGTGTGCAGTTGGGGGACAGTAGGGACAGTAGGGGACAGTGTGGGGCAGTGGGGACGTGTGGGGCAGGTGAGACAGTGGTGACATTGTGTGACAGTGGGGGGAAGTGTGGGCAGTGGGGGCAGTGTGTGGACAGTGTGTGACGGTGGACGTGTGGACGTGTGGACAGTGTTTTTGACAGTTTGGGGACGTGTGTGACAGTTTTTGGACAGTGTGGGACAGTGTGGGACAGGGTGACAGTGTGGGGCAGTGTGTGGCAGTGTGGGGAGTGGGGGAAGTGTGAGACAGTGTGTGACAGTGTGTGACGTGGGGACGTAGGGGACAGATGGGGACGTGTGGGACAGTGTGGGACGTGTGGGGCAGTGGGCAGGGGTGTGACAGTGGTAAAAGTTTGGGAAGTGGGGGGACTTTGGGGGACACTGTCCCACGCTGCCCACACTTTTCCCACGTTACACCTGTTCCCTGTCACACACTGCCCCACGTGTTCACACTGTTCCAAAACGTCCCACCCACCCCACGAGTGACAGGTTGGACAGTGGGGGGACAGTGGTGACTGTGTGACGTGGTGACTGTGTAACAGTGTGGGGCAATTGGGGGCAGTATGAGACGTGTTGACAGGTGTACAGTTGGGACAGTATGGGACAGTATGGGCAGTGTGGGCAGATGTGACAGGGGGGAGTGTGTACCTGTGTGACAGTTGGGGAATGTGGGCAGTGTGAGACAGTGTGTGACAGTGTGTGACAGTGGGACAATGGGACAGATGGGACAGTGTGGGCAGTGTGGGCAGTGTGGGGCAGTGTGGACAGTGTTGACGTGTGGACAGTGTGGGACGTGTGGGACAGTGTGGACGGGGTGACGTGTGTGACAGTGTTGACAGTGTGGGACAGTGTGGGCCCGTGGTGACAGTGGGGGGACAGTGTGGCAGTGTGTGACAGTGGGGGACAGTGTGGGACGTTTTTGGGACGTGTGTGGCAGTGTGTGGCATTTGGGGGGCAGTGTGGGACGTGTGAGACAGTGGTGACATGTGGGGAAAGGTGGGACGTTGGCAGTATGGGACAGGGGGAGGGACAGTGTGGGACAGTGGGGGCAGTGTGAGACAGTGTGTGACAGTGTGTGACAGGGGGGGGACAGTGGGGGCAGTGTGGGACAGTGTGTGACAGTGTGTGAAGTGTGTGACAGTGTGGGACATGTGGGACAGGGTGTGACATGTGTGCAGTGTGGGGACAGTTGTGCAGTGTGGGACAGGGGGGACGTGGTGACAGTGTGTGGAGTGTGTGGCAGTGTGGGGCAGTGTGGGGACAGTGTGAGCAGGGTACAGTGTGGACAGTGGGGGGGGACAGTGTGGGACAATGTGGGACGTTTTGGGGTGACAGTGTGTGACAGTGTGGGAAGTGGGCTGTGGGACAGTGTGGAGTTTGTGACAGTGTGTGCCCAGTGTGTCGTGGGGACAGTGTGGGGCAGTGTGTGCAGGTGTGGGTGTGGGACAGGTGGGACAGTGTGGGACAGGTGTGACAGTGTGTGACAGTGTGTGAAGTGTGGGGCGTGTGGGGCAGTGGGGGGCGGTGGGGGACAGTGTGTGCAGTGTGGGACAGTGTGGGGCAGTGTGTGGCAGTGGGGGCAGTGGGCGTGTGGGACATGTTTTGACAGTGGGGGCAGTGCGGGACAGTGGTTTCGGGGTGTGACAGTGGGGGACAGTGTGTGACAGTGGGGGCAGTGTGTTTTGGGTGTGACAGGTGGGCAGTGTTGTGCAGGGGGGGACAGTGTGTTTCGGGGGTGACAGGGGGACAGTGGGGACGGGGTGTGGGACAGTGTTTTTTCGGGGTGTGACAGTGGGGGCAGGTGGACTGGGGGCGTGTTGACAGTGCGTGACAGTTTGACAGTGGGGGACGTGTGGGGCAGGTGTGGCAGTGGGGCAGTGTGGGACAGTGTGGGCGGGGGTGTGACGTGTGGGACAGTGTGGACAGTGGGGGACGTGTGTTTCGGGTTTTGTGAAGTGGGGGACAGTGTGTGACAGTGGGGGACAGTGTGTTTCTGGTGTGGACAGGTGGACAGTGTGTAAAGTGGGGGAAGTTTTGTTTCTGGGTGGCGTGTGGGACAGTGTGTGGACATGTGGGGGACAGTGTTTTTTCGGGGTTTTGTGACATTTGGGGGACGTGGGGGGACGTTTGGACAGTGTAAAAACAGTGTGGGACAGTGACTGTGGTAATGGTTGGGACAGGTGTAACAGTGTGTAACAGTGGGTGACAGTGGTAACAGTGTGTGACAGTGTGTAACGTGGGGACAGTGTGGGACATGTTGGGACAGTAAGGGACAGTGTGTGATGGTGGACGGTGGGGGACAGTGTGAAAACAGTAAAGTGTGTAAAAGAAACAGTGTGAAACGTGGGGACATGTGTGGCAGGTGGGGCATGGTGTGACAGGGGTGTAAAGTGTGGGACAGGTTGGACAGTGTGGGCGTGTGGGACGTGTGTGACAAGGGGGGGACAACGTGTGCAGTGTGGGGACCTTGGGCGGGGGAAGTGTGTGTGACAGTGTTGACGGGTGGAGTATTGAACGTGGGTGGACATCCCTGTGACAGCAGCGTGGAAGGGTGGAGAGTGTGTGACAGGTGTGGTGGGGTAGGCTACCTTGCGCCTGTGCGGGTGGCTCGGGGTTCCAGAAAATAAAACACAGGTTAAAACCGCTTGTAAACAAGCCAGAATTTAGAACACAAATTAACATGTTTGTAATAAAATCAAAGTTAAAACACAAGTTAACGCTTGTAGTCAAGCCAAAAGTTAAAACAAAAATTAACACGCTTGTAGCACAAGCCGGGAAGGTAAGACAAAAGGTTAACATGCTTGTAGACACAAGCAGAAGATAAGACACAATTTAAACACGCTTTAGACACAAGCCAGAAGATAAGACACAATTTAAACACGTTTGTGACAAGCCCGAAGTAAGAAAAATTAAACGCTTGTAGACAAAAGCCGAAGATAAGAACAATTAACACGCTTGTCCCAAAACCCAGAAGATAAGCAAAGTTAACCCGCTTGAGACACAACCCAGAAGAAAGACACAAGTTAATATGCTTGTAGAACAACCCGAAGATAAGACACAAGTTAACATGCTTGTAACACAACCCCCAAAGAAAAAAAGACCAAAATTTAAACCCGCTTGTAGCCCAAAAGCCAGAAGATAAGCAAAAGTTAACATGCTTGTAGACACAAGCCAGAAGATAAGACACAAGTTAACACGCTTGTAGACACAAGCCAGAAGATAAGACCCAAGTTAACACGCTTGTAGAAAAAAGCCAAGATAAGCCCCAATTTAAACCTTGTAAACACAAGCCAGAAGATAAACAAAGTTAACATCTTGTAGACACAACCCAAAGATAAAACACAAGTTAAACAGTTTTGAGAAAAAGCCAAAAGAAAGAAAAAGTTAACACGCTTGTAGACACAAGCCAGAAGATAAGACACAAGTTAACATGCTTGTAGACACAAGCCAGAAGATAAGACACAAGTTAACACGCTTGTAGACACAAGCCAGAAGATAAGACACAAGTTAACATGCTTGTAGACACAAGCCAGAAGATAAGACAAAATTTAAAAATGCTTAAAACAAAGCCAAAAGTAAAAAAGTTAACACCTTGTAGACACAAGCCAGAAATAAACACTTTTAACATGCTTGTAGACACAAACAGAAGTAAGACACAATTTAAACATGATTGTAGCCCCAAGCCAGAAAAAGACAAAAGTTAACACGTTGTAGACACAAGCCAAAAGATAAGCACAATTTAAACCCCGCTTGTAGAACAAGCCAAAAATAAGACCAAATTTAACATGTTGTAACAAAACCAAAAGATAAGCCAATTTAACACGCTTGTAGAACAACCAGAAATAAACACAAGTTAACATGTTGTAAACAAACCGAAGATAAGACACAAGTTAAACATGCTTGTAGACACAAGCCAAAAGTAAGACACAAGTTAAAACCTTGTAGCACAAGCCAGAAGATAAGACAAAATTAAACATGCTTGTAGACACAAGCCAGAAAAAAGCCCAAAAGTTAAATGTTTTGTAGAAAAAAGCCAGAAGTAGAACAGTTAACTGCTTGTAGACCAACCCAGAAGATAAACACAAGTTACTGCTTGTAGACACAAGCCAAAAAGTAAGACACAATTAACACGCTTGTAGACAAAACCAGAAAAAAGACAAAAGTTAACCGCTTGTGCACAAGCCAGAGAAAAGACCAAGTTAAATGCTTGTAGACACAAGCCAGAAGATAGACCAAGTTAACAGTTTGTACACAAGCCAAAAGATAGACACAATTAACAGCTTGTTTACCTAGAGAGAGTCCCGGGGGTCAACGCCCCCGGGGGCCCGGTCTGTGACCAGGCTCATGGTGGATCGGGCTGATAAAACCAGGCTGTTACTGGGGCTGCACGCAATCCAACGTACGAGCCACACCCTGGGGGTCGGAACCGACTTTAGGTGCTGTCCAGTGCCGCTTGAAGACTGCCAGGGGTTATTGGAATCCCCCTTATGTGTTGGGAGGCTTTGAACAGTCTGGGGCCCCTGACACTTATTGTATGGTCTCTTAAGTGCAATGAACCCCTGCTTTTCATTGCGGGGATGTTGCAGTTGCCATCTTTTGGTTTCGTAGTGAGTGATTTCGTGTGAAGTTCGGTACTTTCCCTTGGGTTTTCCCGGTGATTAATCTGTATCTCTCCCGCCTGCGTTCCAGGGGAATAAGGTTTGGAACTTTAAGCGCTCCCCTTTAATTTAGGTGTTTTATCTCCGTTATGCGCGCCGTGAAAGGGTTTTCTGTACATTTTCTAGGTCAGCAATTTCACCTGCCCTTGAAAGGTGTGTTTTTGTGCGCAATATTCCCGCCTAGATAGAACAAGTGTGTTCAGCGTATGATGCCGCGGGTGATGAACAATCCCGTCTTTAAGGGGGGTTTAAAATGGGAATTCTTAATCGTTAATTTTGGTTAAAAAGGTTTAAGGAATGTAACTAAGTTTAAACCAGTCCAACCTTTCTTGCCTTGCTTAACTAACTTCCCATCCCGCCCAACCTAACCTCACCTAACTTACCTATCTCCCCCCAACCAACCTAACCAACTTTCCTATCTTGCCCAACCTAACCCCCCTAAATTACCCATTCCGCCCAACCCTTCCCACCTAACTACCTAATCCGCCCAACTTAACCTCACCTAAATTACCATCTCCGCCCACCCTAACCTCACCTATTAAAGTATCTCCGCCCCAACCATCCCCCTAACTTCCCATTCCCCCCAACTTAACCTCACCTAATTTCCTACTCCGCCCAACCAAAAATAAATAACTTACCTTTCCGCCCCCCAAACCCAAACCACCTAAATTTCCTATCTCCGCCCAATATCCCACCCAAAGACCCCTACCGCCCAACTTAAAACCCACTAACGTGCCTAACCCCCCGCCCACCCTAAACCCCACCTAACTTATTTCTCCCCCAAAACCCAACCTACCCAACTTTCCCATCTCCCCCCAACCTATCCTCACCTAATTACCCATATCAGCCCAACTTAACCTACCTTACTTTCCTACCCGCCCAAAAATAATCTCATAACTTCCTTCTCCGCCCAACCTAACCTCACCTACTCCGCCCCAAACCCAAAATAACCTAAAATTACCATCCCGCCCACCTAACCCAAACCCAACTTACCTATTCCGCTAAAAAACCTTAAATTACCCCATCTCCCCCCAAACCCAACTAACCAACTTACCTATCTCCCCCTAACCTAAACCTAATTTACCCATCTCCGCCCAACCAAAAACCCAAACCTAACTTACCCTTTTTCCCCCCAACCCCCTAACCTAATTACCTTCTCCGCCCCAACCCAAAAAACCAACTTACCTATCTCCGCCAACCTAACCTAATTTCCTATCCCGCCCAACCAAACTAACTAACTTACCCATCTCCCCCCAAACCCAACCTCACCCAAAATTACCTATCTCCGCCCAACCCATCCTCACCTAATTACCTATATCAGCCCAACTTAACCTCACCTAACTTACCTTTCTCCGCCCAACCTTTTTCCCTAACTTACCATCTCCGCCCAACCTAAAACCCACCTATCTCCCCCCAACCCAAAATAACCTAACTTTCCCATCTCCGCCCAACCCAACCAACCTAATTCCTATCTCCCCCTAAACCACCTAACTTACCTATCTCCCCCCAACCTAACCTAACCCAATTTCCTATCTCCCCCCCTAACCTAACTAATTTTCCTATCTCCCCCAACCCAAAAATAACCCAACTTACCTATTCCGCCCAACCCAACCCAAACCCAACTTACTATCTCCGCCCAAATAACCAACCCAATTTTCCTATCTCCGCCCAAAACCAAACCCAACCTAACTTACCCCCCTCTCCGCCCCAACCAAAACCTAACCTAACTTACCTATCTCCCCCCCAACCCAACCTAAACTAACTTCCTATCTCCGCCCCAAACCCAACCTAACCTAATTACCCATTCGGCCCAACCTAACATAACCCAACTTACCCAAATCCACCCCCCCTAACCTAACCTAAAATTTCCCATCTCGCCCAACCCAAATAACCTAACTTCCTATCTCCGCCAACCCATCCTCCCTAACTTTCCCTTTTCAGCCCAATTTAAACCCACCTAAATTACCTATCTCCCCCCAACCTAAACTCACGTAACTTCCTATCTCCCCCCAACCCAACCCCACCTATCTCCCCCCAAACCCAAAATAACCTAAATTACCTATCTGCCCCAACCTAACCTAACCCAACTTACCCATCCGCCAAAATAACCAAATTTTTCCCTTTTCCGCCCCCAAACCCAACCCAACCTAACTTACCTATCTCCCCTAACCTAAACCCCAAAATTTCTATCTCCCCCCCCAAAAAACTAACCTAACTTACCTTCTCCGCCCAACCAACCTAACCTAACTTATATCTCCGCCCAACCCAACCTAACCTAACTTACCTTCCCCCAACCAAACCTAACCTAATTACCTCTCTCCGCCCCAAACCCAAATAACCTTTAAATTACCTTCTCCCCCAACCTAACCAATCTAACTTACCTATCTCCCCCCAACCCAACCTAACCTAATTTCTATCTCGGCCCAACCTAAAATAACCTAACTTACTAACTCCCCCACCCCAACCTAACCAAATTTTCCCATCTCCCCCCAACCCCAACATAACCTAACTTACCTATCTCCCCCCCCCCAAACCTAACCTCACCTAACTACTTATCTCCGCCCCCAAACCAACCCAAACCCAACTTACCCAACTCCACCCCCCTAACCTACTAATTACCTAAATCCACCCAAAATAACCTCACCCAATTACCCAACCCACCCCCCTAAAACCCCACCTAACTTACCCAACTCCACCCCCCCTAACCTCACCCAAATTACCCAAAACCCCCCCCCACCCCCAAATAAACCCAACTTTACCCTTTAAATTAGTTTAAGTCCAGTTTTTCCCTAATTTATTCAAAAAACAAACAAAAAAATATTTTTAAATTTGTTAGTGAGAGTCTAGAAATGGTCCAGAGAGTAAGTTTGAGTGTTTCTACCGCACCATGGTGGGTATTATGTGTCTTTTTTCCCCTTATTATCTTCGTTTACTTTTTTAAAACAGATTGACTGTTGATGGCCGTGATGTGGTGTCTGATTGCTTCGATTGTCTGTCTGATATGCCCGTTGAAGTGTCTGTCTGATGGCCCTGTTGATGTGTCTTTTCTGTGTGCCTTCTGTGTCCTGTCGATGTGCCTGCTGATGTGCCTGTTGATGGTTGTCTGTGTGTCTGTCTGATGTGCCTGTCAGATGTGCCTGCTGATGTGCTGTTCATGTGCCTGTCCGTGCCCGTCCATGTGCCTGTTTGTTGCTGTTGATGTCCCGTCTGATGTGCCTGTCTGATGTGCCTGTCTGTTGTCTGTTGATGTGCCCCGTCTGATGTGCTTTTCTGATGTCCTGTAAGGGTCCTGTCTGATTGTCTGTCAGATGTTCCTGTCTGATGTGCCTGTCTGATGTGCCTGTTGATGTGCTGTCGTTGTGCCTGTCATATGTTCTGTTTTTGTGCTGTCTGATGTGCCTTCTGAGTGTCTTCTGATGCGCCTGTTCTCATGTGTCTGTTGTGTGGTGTCTGATGCGCCTGTCTGATGTGCCTGTCTGATGGTTTTTTCGATGTGTCTATTTTGTGCCTGTCTTTTGTGTCGTCTGATATGCCTGTCGTGTGTCTGTCTGATGGCCTGTCTGATTGCCTGTTGATGTGTCTGTCTGATGTCCTTTTTTTATGTGCCTGTCTGATGTGCCTGTCTGATGTTTCTTTTGATGGTCTGTCGATGTGTCTGTTGATGTGTCTGTCTGTGTGTCGATGTGTCGTCTGATGTGTCTGTCTGATGGCTGTCTGATTTGCCTGTTGGTGTTGTCTGATGTGCCTTTGAGGTCTGTCTGAAGTGTCTGTCTTATGTGTCTGTGTGAGGTCTGTCTGATGTGCCCGTTTATGGCCTGCTGAGTGTCTGTCTGAGTGTCTGTCTGTTGTGTATTCTGATGGTCGCCCGATGGCTTGTCTGAGTGCCGTCTGATGTGCTGTTGATGTGTCTTTGTGGGTCGTTGATGTGTCTGTCCCATGTGTCTTTGATGTGTTTTGCTGATATATCTGATGTGCCTGTCCATGTGTCTGCCTGATGGTCGTCAGATGTGCCTGTCTGATTTTCCTTCTGCTGTGCCTGCTGTTTGCCCGTTTTTGTGTCTGTCTATTGTTGTTGATGTGTCTGCTGTTTGTTCTTTTGATGTGCCTGTCAGAGGTGCCGTTGATGTGACTGTATGATCTGTCGTCGATGTGTCTGTTGATGTGCCTGTCGTGTGTCTGTCTGATGTGTTGCCCGATTGTCTGATGTGCCCGTCTGATGTGTCTGTTTATGCGTCTTCTGTTTTGCCTGTCTATGTGCCTGATTCTCTGTTGATGGCCCGTGATGTGTCTGTCGTTTTCCTGTCTGGTTGCCTGTCTGTGTGTCGTTGATGTGCCCGTCTGAAGTGTCTGATGTGTTTTTCTGATGTGCTGTCTATGTGCCTGTCTGTGTGGGGTGTCTGATGTGTCTGATGTCCTGTTGGGGTTTCCCGTTGAGTGCCTGTCGATGTGCCCGTCTGATGTTTTGTCGATGTCCCGTTGATTGCCCGTCTGATGTGCCTGTCTGATGTGCCTGTCTGATGTGCCTGTAATGTGCCCGCTGTGTGCCTGTTGTTGGCCTGTTGAGTGCCTGTCCGATTTCTGTCTTATGTGTCTGTTGTTGTTCCCGCTGATGTGCCTGTCTGTGTTCTGTTGATGGCCGTCTGTTTTTTCGTCTGATTGCCTGTTAGTTATTTACTCGTGCCTGTTGATGCGTCTGTTGATGTGCCTGTATTTGTCACCATCACGAATGAAATATGCGACAAAACACCCCCCAGGGGAATTTTTTGATGTGTCTGTCTGAGTGTCTGTCCTATAGTTGTCGTTTTGTCTGTCTGTGTGCCCGTCTGTGTCCTGCCATGTGTCTGAGTGCCCCGTTTGATGTTTCCTGTCTGATGTGCCCCGTTGTTGTCTTTGATGTGCTGTCTGTTCTTCTGATGTGTCGCCAGAAGGTCTGTGTGATGTGCCTCTCTGATGTGCCTGTCTGAGTGCCCGTGTGTCTGATGTGCCTGTCGATGGTGTCTAACTGCTGTGTGTTATGTGCCTGTTGATGTGCCCTGTCTGGGTATGTTGTTTAGTGCCTGTCTGATGTACCTGTCGATGTGTCCGTCTATGTGTTTCTGTGTGCCGTTGATATGCCTGTCAAGGTGCTTCTGATGTTCTGTCAGATGTGCCCGTCTTATGTGCCCCGTTGATGTGCCTTCTAATGTGTCTGTTTATGTGTCTGTCTGTGTGCCTGTTGATGTGTCTGTTGATGTGTCTGTCCTGATGGTCTGTTGATGTGCCCCTTTGATGTGTTTTTGTTGCCCGTCTGATGTGTCTGTTGTGGCCCGTCTGAGGGTTGTTATTGTGATGTACCCCTTTTGATGTGCCTGTATGGGGGTGCCTGTCGATGTACTTGCTGAGTACTTCTGTGTGCCTGTTGATGTGCCGTAATTTACTTGATGTGTACCTTCAGGGGTGCCTGTTTTTATTCCCTGTTCATGTGTCTGTGTTCTTGGTGATTACTGTCTGAAGTGCCTGTCTGAGGTACCTGTCTGATGTGCCCTGTATGATGTGCTTGTTGATGTCTTTTCTGTGTTCTGTCTGAAGTGCCTGTCTGATGTGCCCCTTGATGTGCCCGTATGAGTACTTGGTGAGTACCTGCTGCAGTGCCTGTTTTAGGGACCCTTTTGTATTGCCCCGATGTGCCGTTGAAAATGCCCGATATTACTTTATGAGTACCCGTCTGATATATTTGTCTGATGTACCTGTCTGGTGTGCCCGTCTGATGTGATGATTCTTTTTTGAGTGCCTGTTTGAGTACTTGGTGATGAAACCCCTTGTTTTTTGTTGATGTGCCGTCGTGTGCCTGTCTGATGTACTTGACTGATGTACTTGTCTGATGTGCCTGTCTGATGTGCTTGTCTGATGTGCCTGTCTGATGTACTTGGCTGATGTACCTGTCTGATGTATTTGTCTTATGTGCCTGTCTTATGTGACTTATGTTACTGATGTGTTTGTCTGATGTGCCTGTTTAATGTGCATGTTTGATGTGACTGTCTGATGTGACTGATGTACCTGTCTGATGTGTCTGTCTGATGTGACTGTCTGATGTTCTTGTCTGATGTGATTGATATTCTTATCTGATGTGACTGATGTGCCCGTCTGATGTGTCTGTCTGATGTGACTGTCTGATGTTCTTGTCTGATGTGATTGATATTCTTATCTGATGTGCTTGTCTGATATGCCTGTTTGACGTGCCTGTCTATTGTGCTTCTCTGATGTGACTGTCTAAGGTATCCTGTCTAAGGTACCGTCTGCCTGTGGTTCCCTGCCTAAGATACCCTGTCTGTCTGAGGCTCCATATCTGTTTGTGGTTCTCTGTCTGTGGTTCATTGCCTGTCTGTGGTATCCTGTCTGAGGTACCCTGCCTCTCTGCGGTACCATGTCTGAGGTTCTCTGCCTCTCTGAGGTACCCCTCTATATGTGAGGTAAGAACATAAGAACATAAGAATGGAGGAACACTGCAGAAGGCCTACTGGCCCATGCGAGGCAGGTCCTTATCAAAACGACTACTACCTAAAGCTTCCCTAGAAATAACTCCCGTACCCAATGACACCAATCAAACCCAGCCCCTCCCACTCATATATTTGTCCAGTCTCTTCTTAAAGCTACCCAAGGTCCTAGCCTCTATCACCCCACTGGGAAGACTGTTCCACGCATCTACAACTCTGTTAGAAAACCAGTACTTACCTATGTCCTTTCTAAATCTAAATTTATCCAACTTAAATCCATTATTCCTGGTTCTTACCTGGTTCGACACCCTCAGTACTTTATTAATATCTCCCTTGTTTATGCCCGTCATCCACTTATACACTTCAGTGATATCTCCCCTCATTCTACGCCTCTCCAGAGAGTGGAGGTTTAAGGCTTTGAGTCTATCTTCATACGGGAGGTTCCTTACACAGTAAATCATTTTAGTCATTCTTCTCTGTATGTTCTCTAATGAGTCTATATCCATCCTGTAGTAAGGGGACCAAAACTGAGCAACATAATCTAAATGAGGTCTCACTAGTGATGTATAGAGCTGTAAAATAACTTTTTGGACTTCTGTTACTTATACTTCTTAGAGATAAATCCAAGTAATCTGTTGGCCTTGTTGCGCACACTAAGGCACTGCTGTCTTGGCTTTAGATTTCCGCTTACCATGACTCCCAAGTCTTTTTCACATTCTGTATGATCAAGCTCTACTTCACCTAGATTATAGCTTCGAGGGTATTTTCATTACCAAGGGCAAGTACCTTACACTTATCCACATTGAACTTCATCTGCCATTTTTCAGACCAAGACATTAATCTGTCCAAATCGTCCTGGAGTTCATTGATATCCTCCTCAGAGTGAATTATACGGCCTATCTTTGTATCATCAGCAAATTTACTCATGTCACTCGTAATCCCTTCATCAAGGTCATTAATGTAAATAATGAACAAGAGAGAGCCTAAAACCCGATCCTTGTGGAACGCCACTAGTGACTAATCCCCATTCAGATTTCACTCCCTTAATGGTAACTCTCTGCTTTCTATTGGTAAGCCATGCCTCAATCCATGCTAGAACTTTACCTCCTATACCATGAGCTGCCACTTTTCTTTAGAGTCTCTTGTGAGGTACTCTATCGAAGGCTTTACTAAAATCCAAATAAACAATATCAGATTCCTTATCACTGTCAACTGCCTCAAATGTTCTATTGAAAACGTCAGTAAGTTTGTCAGGCAGGAACGACCTCTCGTGAATCCATGCTGAGTTCATTTATCAAGTTATGCTCTTCAAGGTGACTTCTGATAATGTCAGCTATAATTGATTCTAATAACTTGCCCACTATAGATGTCAGGCTTATTGGACGGTAATTTGAAGGAGTGGACTTATCCCCTGATTTGAATATAGGAACCACATTAGCCATCTTCCACAACTCTGGCACAACACCGGTAAGGATGGACTCATTGAATACACTCTTTTAATGGCTGACTAAGCTCCATCTTGCATTCCTTAAGTCCCCTTTGAAAACAACTCATCGGGTCCCGGGGAACTTATTTTGTTTCAGTTTGTCTATCTGTTTAATAACCATGTCCCTCGTGACAGTAATTTTAGTTAACTTAAATTCATCAGGAACTAAATAACTGTTAATTACTGGAATCTCATTTACATCTTCCTGTGTAAAAACTGACAAAAAATAGTCATTAAATAAGGAACACATTTCCAGTTCATTATCCGTCAGCTGTCCATTCCCAGTTTTCAGAGGTCCTACTTTTTCCTTCACCTTCGTCCTATACACTTGAAAGAACCCCTTTGGATTATCTTTGATTCATTAGCAACTCTAATTTCATAGTCACGTTTAGCCTTTCTAATCGCCTTTTTTACTTCTCTTTTAAGCTGAACATATTGGTCAGTAAGGTTAACCTCTCCTCTTCTGATGCGCCTATAAATTCCCCTTTTTTCCCCTAATAGATGCTTTAGCCTCCTGTTAACCCATTTGGGATCGTTATTATTAGACCTGATTCTCTCTGGGGAATGTATATACTCTGGGCACGGTGTACATTATTAAGAAAACAATCATAAAAGCAGATCCCTTCATATTCGTAAGTATGATTATCGTCAATAAAATCATTAGCTAGATAACCCCAATCAAGATTAGACAGATGCTCCCTAAGTCCATTATAATCGGCAGAACGAAAATCAGGGATTTTTACTGTATTATCATTATTCTTGCATTCCCAATTAATGCTAAAAGTGATGGATTTGTGATCACTTGCGCCAAGCTCTTCATTGATCTCCAGATTATTCACGAGTGTTTCCTTATTTGATAAGACTAGGTCTAGCAAATTATTACCCCTTGTAGGCTCAGTTATGCTCTGTTTCAGCAAACAGTCCTGAACTGTTTCCATAAAATCACTGGACTCTAGATTACCTGTCAAAGAATTCCAGTCAATTTGACTAAAGTTAAAGTCCCCTACTATGACTATGTTACTGTATCCAGAAGCCCTAACAATTTCGTCCCAAAGAAGTCTCCCTCTATCGTGATCCAAGCCTGGATATCGGTATATTACACCTAGAATTAGTTTTTCTTGACCCTCCACGAACTCTACCCAACAGACTCTGTTACTGCTCCATCTATTTTTACACCTGTTTTTATGCAACAATTAATATTTTCTCGAACATACAATGCAACTCCTCACCCCTTCCCATTACATCTATCCACATTGAACAACTTAAATCCCTGAATATTACACTCAGCAGTCACATCCCGACTCTTTAAATCATACCACGTTTCAGTTAATGCAATGATATCAAAGTTCCCAGCACATGCTACCAAACGTAGTTCATTAATTTTATTTCTTGCACTTCGACTGTTAGCATAAAATACCATCATATGTTTTTTCTTCTGCACATTTTTCCTATTCATCTTTGTTTTTACACAATTTCTGAAATTATCATTACCCAGAGTTACTCCATGACAGTTACTATTATGATTCTTAATATCAGAGCGTAAGTCAATATATCCATACTCATTATTTATCATTTCTAAACCCATACCTCTAACTAATCCTAGTTTAATGTCCTAACAACCCCCTCAACTGAGTTAGCAAGAAAACCCACACCTGCCCTGGATAAGTGAACCCCATCCCTGGCATACATGTCATTTCGGCCATAGAAGTTGTCCCAGTTGTCAATGAAAGGTACTGCATTATCCTTACAATGTTTATCCAGCCAACAATTAATACCAATTGCTCTGGACAACCATTCATTACCAACACCTCTTCTTGGCAAAATGCCACATATAACAGGCGCGCCCCCCCCCCTTCTTCCTAATTATGTCTATAGCTGTCCTGAACTTTCTAACTAAATCCTCACTTCTACACTTCCCTACATCATTGCCTCCAGCACTGAGGCAAATAATAGGATTGATCCCATTACCGTTCATGATGTTGTCAAGCCGGCTAACAATGTCCTCCATCCCAGCCCCAGGAAAGCAAACCCTCTGTCTCCTACTCCTGTCCTTCAAGCAGAATGCCCTATCCATGTATCTAAACCTGGCTATCCCCAACAACAACAATATTCTTACCTTCCTTGTTGTCGTTCGTCTTTGACGATCCCAGTAGTAGACTCACATTCGTCGGGTAGCACCGAGAATGCGTTGGAGGTTTCCACAGGAGTTTCCACAGCAGTCTCTTTCTTCTTCATCGTTTCTGGCTCTCCATTCGTCTTCTTGACCGTCAACTTAGTCGTCCCCTGCTGTCCAGCCACTGACCACGATCCCTTCTTGGCCTGAGGACTCGAAACAGGAGGACTACTACGAATCCTCTTGTTTTCCTCGGTCAATCGCCGTATCTCCATCTTCGCTACCCACAGTTCTTCCTTAAGTTGCTGGTAAAGTTGCTCGATGGAGGGCATCTTGGTTCAGTCCACGGGAGCACACAAGACACTTCTTCACAGAGTTAAGTACAGGCCACCACTGTACCTTGCCTGTCTAAGGTACCCTGTCTGTCTGTGGTTCCCTGTCTGACTGAGGTACCGTCTATATATGAGGTACCCTGCCTTTCTGTGGTTCCCTGACTGGCTGAGATACCATCTGTATCTGAGGTACCTGATTTTCTGTGGTTCCCTGTCTATCTGAAGTATCCTCTATATCTGAGGTACCCTGCCTTTCTGTGGTTCCCTATCTATCTGAGGCACCCTCTATGTCTGTGGTTCCATGTCGTCCGAGGTCCCCTGCCTTTTTGTAGTTCTCTGTCTGAGGTACTTTCTATGTCTCTGGTTCCCTGCCTGTCTAAGGTACCTCTATGTCTCTGGTACCCTGTTTGTCTGAGGTACACCTATGTCTCTGGTTCCCTGTCTGTCTGAGGTACCCCTATGTCTCTAGTACCTTGTTTGTCTGAGGTACACCTATGTCTCTGGTTCCCTGTCTGTCTGAGGTACCCCTATATCTCTGGTTCCCTGTCTGTCTGAGGTACCCCTATGTCTCTGGTACCCTGTTTGTCTGAGGTACACCTAAGTCTCTGGTTCCCTGCCTGTCTGAGGTACCCCTATGTGTCTGGTACCCTGTTTGTCTGAGGTACACCTATGTCTCTGGTTCCCTGTCTGTCTGAGGTACCCCTATCTCTCTGGTTCCCTGTTTGTCTGAGGTACCCCTATCTCTCTGGTTCCCTGTTTGTCTGAGGTACCCCTATCTCTCTGGTTCCCTGTTTGCCTGAGGTACACCTATTTCTCTGTACCCTGTCTGTCTGAGGTACCCCTATGTCTCTGGAACCCTGTCTGTCTGAGGTTCCCCTATGTCTCTGGTTCCCTGTTTGTCTGAGGTACACTTATGTCTCTGGTACTCTGTGTCTCCGGTACCCTTGTGTCTGTGGTTTTCTTGCTGTTCTTGGAGCACTCTTGCTATTACTCACCAGTTCCCTCCAGAGGGTTGTACCTGGCGAGCACCTCCTTGGCAAGTGTGTACTTCTCAGTATAATCTCCGGCCTCCGTCAACACTGCATCGTAGTCTGCAAAGAAACACAGGGTGAATAATGAGCTACGTAATGAATGTTATATACGATTGATTTAATAATCACAATAGCGAAGCTTTTTCGTGAAAAGTGAGAACGGTTTAATTATTTTTATTTATATTGAATTATCAAGCCACAAGTGTTCTGGTGGTGAGATGTACTGTATTGGCATGTCTGATGATGGGTAGGGATGTTTTAGCTCTGGTAGTGGAAAGTATTGTGCCAGCATGCTGAATGCTGGGTAGAAGAATTATAGTTCTGCAGTTAGAAAGTACTGTGCCAGCTGTCTGATATGGCTAGGGAAGCTATAGTTCTGGAAATGGGAAGTAATATGCCCACAGTCTATGGATAGGTAGGGATATTATAGTTCTGGAAGAGAGGAGTGCAATGCTCGCAGTCTGAATGATGGGTAAGGGTGTACCGGTTCATCCTGAGGGAAATACATTGCCTGCGCTCTGAAGGATAAGTGGGGATGTAGCAGTTCTGGAGGTAAGAAATACAATACCTCTACCCTGAGGATCGGTAGGGATGTTGCAGTTAAGTAGGATTTTTTAGCAGAGCGTCACCGCAGTGAAGAATGAGTGCCTGCACTCTGAGTTATGTGGGAGGACGTTTTGGTTCTGGAGATGGAAAGTACAGTATCTAAATTCTGAAGGATGGTTGGAGATTTTGCATTTCTGGAGGTGGGAAGAAGAGTACAAGCTTTTTTAAGGGATGGGTTTTTGAGGGTTCCAGTTCAGGGGGTTTGGGAACACAATCTATGTAATGTAAAAAATTTGGGGGAGGGAGGGGGGGTTTTGGAGGGTGAAGAAAAGGACCACTTTGTAAAGCATATGTGGGGTGATCTAGTTGGGGGGGGGTAGGAATTACAGTCCCCTGTACCTGAATTTTTATTTAAGGACCCCTGAAATTCTGAAAGGGAAAGTGTTCTACAATGCTTAAACTCGAAACACCCAAATTTGGAATGTTGCACTTCGGGGAATTTGGGAAAAAAGGTGCCCTGCACTCTAAAATGAGGGGGGAAGAGATCAAAATTTCAAAAGGGGGGAAAAAATACGTGCCTAAACTTAAAGGAGGGTTTGGAGATGTTTTTCTTTCCTCTGAAAGAAGTGGGGGGGAAGCAGCCCTTTTCGAAGATGAAAAAACAGTGTTTTCATTTTGGGCAAACAGGGGGAAAATTTGGTTGCGATTCGGGTGATTGGAAGAAAAATGCATAAACCTGCAAGAGGGGTTGGGATTTTTAAAGTTGTAAAAAAATTTGGGGGGGGGGGGTGGGGGGGGGGTTTTTATAACCATTTTTCTGAATTTTGGGGTTGTGATAGGGTTTATTTAACACGAGGTCAAAATAGAATGGTTACAATAAAAAACGCTTAATGGGAACAAAAAGGGGTGGGGATTATGTCCCTACATTAAAAAGATTTAAAGCTTAAAAACCCAAGACCGATTTAAATAAAAATTTAAACTGGAATTCTTTTGGTTTGAATGCTGCTTCCTAAGACCCCCCCCAAACTTAGTGGGAAACATTACCGCCCCCTACCCGGGACCATTCTTAAAGACTTTTCCCAGATTCTTGTCCAGAGTTGAAAAAAAAGGGGCGAGAAAAATAATACGGGCCCTTAATATCTGTTTTTCCGCACAAATAAGGGGCTACAAAAGGATAACAAATTCTGGAATAAATAGTTACACTAAAACTAATTAAACCCAAACCCCGGGATCACACAGTTCTCAGCCACCCTAATTGACCACATATTTTTGTAACCGCTTTTTAGAACAAAATCGGGCAGGCGTCATTACCACAGGTTTTAGTGATCATTTCATCTTTTACGCACCGGGAAAATAACTAGGGATGGGATGGGCCCTAAAAGGACAAAAAAAATAGGTAAACTAAAATACAGAAAAGAAACACTGGTAAATGGCTACCAATTGTGACTGGACAGAAAAAACCCAAGTTGCAGGGAGGGAAACAAATTTGCCTGGGAAAAATTCAAAAAATGTTCACTACCACCCTTTAAAAAATATTGAAACCATTAAAGAGGTTTAAGGATTAAACAAAAAACTGAACCCGGGATAAATACTGGGATATTAGATAAAATGTTTTTTCCGAGACCACTGCAAAAAAAGATTTAAAGAAAACAGACGGGAAAATTGCAGCACAAAAATAAATTTCCCAAAAGGGGTGAGGAACAGAGTACAGAGACTTAAAAAGGAGCAAAGGCAAAGCAAAACTGCTCAAAAATTAAAAGAGTATAAGCAAAAACCCCGAAAGCTCTGGCAAAAACCTAAAACATTTGGGGTAAAGCCATAAGCCAGTAAAATAGGTCTAACATATTACCACAAATCGAAAAATAGTTTTCCACGAAACATCTAAGGGGGCCCAAATAGTTTTAATTTCCCCAACTACACATCTTTTTGCATCAACCCCTAGAAAGAAAACCCTACCAGCTGCATAAAATACCTTTTAAACACAGACTCGAAAATTTCAAACAAACAAAACCCAAAATAAAGGGTAAACCCCAAACATTGTAAACTAGAAATTTTAAATCCCCAAGATTTTAAAATTCAAAAAAACTAACGGTTAAACCCCAACTAAAGCACAGGCCCTGAAACATCCCCCCCCTAATTCCTAAAAAAAGGGTTTTCTAAAACTGTCAACCCTTGCTCACATAATAAACTAAAAATCACCACTAATCCCGTACCGGGGGGGGTTAAAGGGGGCCCAGAGTCACTCCTATCTTAAAGAAAAATAGAAAAGGTTTCTGATGAAAGAAACTATGGGCCCCTTTTAATTTAAAAATCAGTATAAAAAAAAAATTTCTGGAGAGGGGGGTGTTCCAAGTATTTAAAAGGAACCTTAATGAAAACCAACTTTCTCCATAGCTTAAAAGGGGTTTTAAAAAATCCAACTAAACCGACCCCTTTCCCTTATTAATCTGAGGGATTACCTGAGAACTGAAATGTCAAAGGGGAACCTCATAGGCTTTGGTAACCTTAGACCTGAAAAAGGGCCCTTTCCCGATACTGTCAACCCAAACAATATTATGTAATAAACTTCAAGCTTTTGGGTATGGGTTTTCTGAGACGGGTTTTTAAAATCCACCTTAGCAACAGGAGAAAAATAGTCAAAATAAACAAAAACAGAATCAGAACCCCTGCCGAAAACATTGGAGTTCCCCAAGGTAGTTTTCCCTGGTCCCTTTTTATTCTTATGTTAGGGTCAATGATAGGGGCCTATCATGTCAATGCAAACTCCTACTTTTTGCAATGCCAGGGGCTCGTTATGTCGGGTAAGACCCCAAGATATTGCTAATGTTTTAAAAACTGGAACGGAGTCCTGCAGCAAATGGTTGAAACAACAAACTATCTTAAACACCTGGGGAAAAACTGAAGCCATCTCTTGGCACAAAACCCCATAAACGAGAAGGGTAAAAAAATTTTAATGTTCAATGTAATGGGGCCCATCACTTGGTTTCATCAGTAAAAAATTTGGGGAATCCCCTTTGACCCAGGGCATTCGGGGAGAATTGATAGGGAACATGTTTTAAAGAAAGGCGAATGCCAAACTGAATTTTCCCTTTTATAGACAAAAACAGTGTCTACCTACTGGGGCCCGGGCAGGCCCCTATGTCAACCCTTATCAATCCCAAATATGGATTACGTTTGCACTTTTTGGTACTCTGCCTTGCCCAAAAAAACGAAAGAAAGACTGAAAAATCACCCAAAAAAAAACGTAAAAAATTCATCCGGGGGGCGGGGAAACCAAGAAACATTTGGGCCGGGTTTAATTACAGCAGTTGGAAAAGCAAATTTGTTGAAGACAAGTAAAACAACTGAAGCTAAATAAATTTTTTAAATAAAATTGTTTCAAAAAACAATGTCCCAAATTTTTGCGCCCAATTTTGTAAAGGGTTTGGGAAAAAAAAGGCAATCATAGTACTAGGGGGAGAGAGCAAAATTTTTAAAAGTACCCCAGCCCTTTGGCCGGGCTTCAAACACCTTTTATTGTACGGGGCAAAAAAGGGAAAAACCAGCCCTACCCGCCATGCAAAGCCATCAAAAGCGTAAAACCATTTCAAAAAGGGGTTCCCAAAAGGTGCTAATGAATGTAGAACAGAAAGGGGGGGGGAATGTTTTTTCTTTTTTTTAGCTAACATACTTTGAAAATTTTTTACCTTATTCCTTGAAAATAAACCCTCGTTTTGGGGAGATATCTTAAGACCTTTATGTAGCAGAAGTCTTTTTAGTATGATAAAAAGGGTGTTATCTTCATTGTAAATAATAAGAAAAAAAATTTTAAAACCTTATAAAAAATAAAATAAGGTAAAAGGACCCCAATGGAAAAAAGTCACTCTGTCTGACTTTTTTTGGGGTTTTCCAAAGGGTTTTCACACTATTTGGGGTATTGATAATTCCCAAGTAACTGTATTTTTTTTATAACCCTTAATAAACTTACTTACTTTTCTTACTTACTTAACACGGGGGGTACGTAAATTGCGCTAAAGAAAGAAAATTTGAATTTCCCGTTCCTAAGTGGGAAAATATAGTTTTTTAAAACCCGACGGATGGAGAGGGAAGTTGTGATACTATATAATATTTTTCCAGAAATGGTTTGGGGGGCATTGGGGCCCCCCAAAAAGTACGAAAACCTTTTTTTGGCGCAGGCCCCACCCTCATTTACAGGCTATCCCCCCCAACCCGCGAACCCCGGTTTTTCTAAGAGTTGATTGGGGGGCCCCAACGTTCAAATATTTACCAGGTTCAAACCAATAAGAAGGTGGGGTTGACCCAAACGCAAGGTTTTTTGGGATACCGCTCCCTTCTGCCCTTGTCTTCCCCCCTAGAGCCCGGGTAAGGGACGGTCCCGCTATCTTGTGGCTTCTATTTTTTGGGCCCTTTCTTCCCCGGGGGTGCACTATATTTTATCACTGAACCCTAGTGTACAATTGCTTTTTCTAAATTGGTGAAAAGGGGGTAAAATAAGTCTAAACTTTTTTTTACTGTGTTTATTTGTCCCATTTTTTCCCTGGATAACAGGCCATTTAAAACCTAGGGTTTAAAAAAGGGAAACCTTCCGAGAGCTGGACTTAGAGAAACGGTTTTAGCTTAGGTGAAGCTTTTACAGGAACATTGTGTAGCTTTTCTGTTTTTGCTTCGCTTTAAAAATTTTTTCGTGTCAGTTGCTTATGACAAACCGGGATTTTTTGATCGTTCAACCCGCTTTCCCACTAGCTTTTTCCCGTGTGGGGCCCCTTTTGCTTTCCGGGCAAACTTGTGTCGTCCCGGGTTTGCTTGTATGCGTAATTTTGCAATCGACTGTTTCAACTAAGCGTGGTTTTGCCCAAAATTTAAAGTGTTTTCGTTGGGGGATTCGTTAAATGGCATTTGCGAAATAAATTTTTGCCACCAAAACCCAACAGACGCCTGGTGTTTGGGAAAAACTTTTCCCTAAAACCAAACCCAAATTTGTCCCAACCCGGGCCCTTGTTGGCCAAATTTCTCGTTTCCCTTGGGGATTCCAAAAAACGCACTCTCACAGCTGCGCAACGCGGGTTTACTTAATTTCTGACATACTTAATTTAAGAAAAAGATGGCACTCAAAATCCCCCTCTACGGGAGCTAGGGAAAAAACTCTTTTGTTCTCGCATGAGGAAGATGATACACCTACGGGGCAAAAAGGTCATATGGTGAAACTGGGGGTCCCCGAGGGGAATCAGCGTCGTTGGCACTTGAGGGTGGCAAAAAACACGCTGGAGCAAACTAGGGAACAAGAGCATTTGCAAGGGGAAAAATTTTTAAGGGAAAGAGAAAAAGGGGGCATTTTTTTTCAATTTTGTAAACGATTTCATTTACAAAAAGCATACAGCTTTTTTTCCCCCTTCCCAAAGAGGCCGAACCCGAGCAATTTTTCGAAAGCTTCGAAAATTTAGGCTCGAGCCTTGAGGGGGGCCGGAACACACTGGGCACGTTTGGTTATACAGCCCTTAAAAGGGGTAAGGCAAAAGGGAAATTTTCGGGCGGGGGTTAAAAGACCTTGGGGAAAAATTTTTCTGATTATCAAATATGAAAGACCACAGTGTTGGGAGCATATACAATTATCCCAGCTAAAAAACGTAAACCCCTTTAAATTGAACAGGGGGCAGCTTTGGGCCAAACCCTGGTTTGGGCTTTGTGAGACAGCAAACCAAAAACTTTTACCAGCTGGAAAAAACGAGCGGTTTTCCCCCTAAATTTGAGGAGCTGGGGCAGCTTTAGTTTGGGGGGGGCCCGGGGGTTTTGGAGGGGGAAACCCCCTTTGGGGGGCCGGGGGTTTGGTGGGGGGGGCCCAAAGGGGGGGATTTGTGAGGGGCCCCCTTTGCTTTTTCCCGGGGGACGGTGAAAAAGGAAACCCCGGCCCTTGGGGGCGGGAATAAAGGGGGTTGGAGAAAGGGGGGGAATTTTAAATAATTTTGGGGAATGGGGGGAAAATTAAAATTGGAAATTTTTCCGGGGAACCCGAGAACGACAACCCTTGGAGAAAAAGGGAGGAAAAGGGAAAAGGCGTCTCGTTCCCTCCCAAAAATTAAAACCCTAAACCAGCTTCCCCCCAAAAAATCCCCCTGGGAAAACCAAACCCCATTAAAAGGGGAATGAAAAATATCCCCAAGGGGAAAAGGCAAACCCCAGGAAAACCCCAACCAAATTAAGTAAAAAACAGGGGGTAAAGGGAAACCTTTTCCTTGTCAGGGGAATAAAGAGTCACCAATTTTAGTTTTAATTTAACCCAAACCTTTTTACCCCTAAAATTTAAATTCCCCCGAAATTTCCCCCGAGAATGAAAAAAGGTTTATGGCCCCTTTATTCCGAAACTTATTTCCTTTAGGAAAAAACTTGAACCAAAAAATAAAACCTTTTGAGATATTTTTGGGGTTTGTTTTGGGGGGGAAGGTATTAAAACCCCCTTTGAAATAACCTTGTTTAGTTTTTTTTGGGAAGCCCAAATTAAAGTTTTAAAATTTTCAAATTTTTCCCTTTTCCCTATAAATTTTTTTGCCCTGAAAAAAATTAAAGGGTAATTTTACCAAATTCTAAAGGTTTTTTATGAAAAATTTCCCTCCTCATTAGGGAAACTCTTTCCCCTTTTTGGCCATTAAAGGATTTTTAAAAAAACGGAAAAATTTCCCCAGATAAAATTTTTTTCCCCTTCTTGGTCCAAAAATTTCCCCTTTAAAGTTTAGTTTTTAACCCCTTTTTAAAAACCCCAAAAAAATTTAATTTTTCTTAACTTCCTTTGCCCCGCCCCAAAAACCTTTTTTTTCCCGGTTTAAGTTGGAGTTTTGGGGTTTTGGGGGAAAATTTAAAACTTGGCCTAAAGTTTTTTCGTTTAAAAATTTCCCCGCCCTCAGAAGGAAATCTCCTTTTAAAAGGCCCCCAGGGTGGTAGGTTTTAAAAGAAGTTCTTGGGAAAGAATTTCCAGTTTTTGGGGACCCCCTTATCTATTCCGCCCAAAAGTTCCCCCTTTTTTTGGCGTCAGTTTTAACAACTTTTTAATTTAAAGGGGAAAAAAATTTTGTTGGGGAAACCTTTCCCCCCTTTCCAGTTTAAAATTTTTATTTAAAAGGGGGGATGTTTTTGGGGTCCCCCCGGGTTTTTTTTGGGGGGTTTTTTTGTAAAAAGGGGAAAAAGGCTACCCTTTGCCTTTTCACCCAAGTTCCCCAAAACGAAGGGTTCTCACCCCTTTAAAAAGGGGCCCCTCGCGGCTTAAAGGTTTGGATTTTGGGGTTGGGGTTTTTTTGGGCCAGGCCCCAAGGGTTCCACTAAGTGTCCCAACCCTGAGCCCTTTTCCCGGGTTTTGGGGTACAACAAAAGCTTAACCTTTACCGGGGCCCGGTGCAACCCCCCAATTAAAAGGTAAATTCTTCCCCAAAGGGAAAGGTTGGGAAAATTTTGGGCCCCCGAACTAGTTTTTTAAAATTTTTAAAAAAAAGGTTTATTTAAAAGGAAATTTTGGAAACCCCTTTCGCCCTTTTTTTTCCCCCTGAGTGGGGGTTTTTTTTAAAATGGGGGCCTATTTTTGCCCTTTTTTCCTTGGACCTATTTCCACTGACTGTGGTACCAATTGGGTTCTTTTGGTATAAAGGGAAAAGGGAAAAAAAAAAGTTGGGGGAAGGTAAAATAAACTCTTTTTTATTTTTTTTGCCCCCCTCCCGGAAAAAGGGTTTTAACCCTGGGAAAAGGTTTTTGGGGGGCCCAATCCGGGTTTCGGGGGGGGGGGTTTGGGTTAAAAGTACTAAACTTTTTCCGGGTTTGGGGGAATTTTTACGGTAAATTTCCCCCCAAAAAAGAACCCGGGTTTTTAAAATTTGAAAGGTGGGGAAAACGGCCAACAGTAAAAAGGGCCCCACCATAAAAAGGGGATTTAAAATTTTTTTGGGTTTTGTAACCGTTCCCGCGCCCTTGGCAATTTCCCCCTCAGAGCTTTTTTAAAAGGACGGTTTGCTCTTGGGGTTCAAACCCTTTTTTAAAAGGGGGAGGAAATTTTAAAATTTTCCAATGGGGGGAAAAATTCCCAAAACTTTTTAATTTTTTTTAGGGTAATAAATCCGAAACTTTTTCCAATGTGGAATTTGCCCACCCTTAACCAACCGGGATAACAGGCCAATTTTAAAACCAGGGTTGTAATAAAATTGGAGGGTTGGAAATCTTTTTAAAAAAAGGGAAAAGGTAGGAGTATAACCCCGGTAGGAAAAGGTTTATTAAAAAATAGGGGAAAAAAAAGTTTTAGGGGTTGAAAAAAAATTTTTTTAAAATTAAAGGTACAAAAAATTTTACCCGAAATGGGGTTTGGGGAAAAAATTAACCCAGAAAAAAAAGGGGCAGTAAATATCAGTAGAAAAAACGGAATTAAAAAACCGGGTAGAAAAACCCTTTCGCTTAAAAATTTTTTGGGGGAAAAGGGGCCCCACTTCAGGGGAAAGAAAAGGAGAAGAGTAGCGGAGGTAAAGAAAAAGGGGAACAAAGGGAAAGACTGGTGAGGACGTTATAATTCTCCAAGTGGGAAGAACAGTGCCAATACTTTGTATGATGTGTAGTTACTAAGAGAGACTAACCATAAGAGGAGACGTCAGGACCGTAGTTTGGCCAGATGTCGAGAGTGTTAGCACCAGCCATGAAGCCAAAGCTCGTCCCACCGATGAACATGTACATGTTGACCGAGGAGTTGTACTGCAAGATTTCCTCCAGTGTGTCTGCGAAGTCTTTATATAATGGAGGAAGAGATGCAGTGAGTAACACCGGGAACAGGCGAAACAGGATGTTGATGAAAGGAAATAGAAAAAAATAAGATTATTAGGGGAATTAGAAAAGAAATATGTTATAAAATTAGTGGCTACAAATTATATGACAAAATGTAAATGTTGACAGTGAGAAATAAATAACTAGAAAAAAAATGTAAGTAGCGAAGCAGTATTAATAACAGTGAGATAATACTGAATAAAGTAACCGCTGATGAGCATTTACAAGACATTTAAATAACTTGTTGAAGATTTGTAGCGTATCTTCATTGGGAGAGAGAGAGAGAGAGAGAGAGAGAGAGAGCGAGAGAGATAGATAGAGAGAGAGAGGGAGAGAGAGACAGAGAGAGAGACAGATGGAGAAAATTTTAGCTAATAAAATTTACTTCCCACCTCAAGGATTCAAGTCCGGCTAACCGGTTTCCACGAATCACTTCATAAACGTTACCTCGCTCACACTCCAACAGCACCTCTAGGCGTAAAAACCATTTGCCTCCACTCACTTCTATCATAACACGCTCACTCATGCCTCTTGGATGTCCAAGCCCCTCGCACACAAAACCTCCTTTACCCACTGCCTCCATCCATTCCTAGGACGACCCCTACCTGGCCTCCTACCCACTACAGATTGATATACCTTCCGAGTAATCCTAGTTTGCTTGACTAATACAACTGGAAACTTAAAAGGAAAACTGAATTGTGCTGACACTTTCCATTTTCATGTTTGAAACTTAAAGAGAGTAGTGACACTCCCTGCTTACAGGTGAGAAACTTAAGAGAGTAGTGACACTCCCTGTTTACAGGTGAGAAAGTTAAGAGAGTAGTGACACTTCCTGTTTACAGGTGAGAAAGTTAAGAGAGTAGTGACACTCCCTGTTTACAGGTGAGAAAGTTAAGAGAGTAGTGACACTCCCTGTTTACAGGTGAGAAAGTTAAGAGAGTAGTGACACTTCCTGTTTACAGGTGAGAAAGTTAAGAGAGTAGTGACACTCCCTGTTTACAGGTGAGAAAGTTAAGAGAGTAGTGACACTCCCTGTTTACAGGTGAGAAAGTTAAGAGAGTAGTGACACTTCCTGTCTACAGGTGAGAAACTTAAGAGGGTAGTGACACCCCTGTTTACAGGTGAGAAAGTTAAGAGAGTAGTGAAAACTCCCTGTTTACAGGTGAGAAAGTTAAGAGAGAAAGTGACACTCCCTGTTTACAGGTGAGAAAGTTAAGAGAGAGTAGTGGACACTTCCTGTTTACAGGTGAGAAAGTTAAGAGAGTAGTGACACTCCCTGTTTACAGGGAGAAAGTTAAGAGAGTAGTGACACTCCCTGTTTTACAGGTGAGAAAGTTTAAAAAAGGTAGTGACACTCCCTGTTTACAGGTGAGAAAGTTAAGAGATAGTGACACTTCCTGTTTACAGGTGAGAAAAGTTAAGAGAGTATGACACTTCCTGTTTACAGGTGAGAAAGTTAAGAGAGTAGTGACACTCCCTGTTTACAGGTGAGAAAGTTAAAAAAGAGTAGTGACACTTCCTGTTTACAGGTGAGAAAGTTAAAAAGAGTAGTGACACCCCCTTTTTACAGGTGAGAAAGTTAAGAGAGTAGTGACACTCCCTGTTTACAGGTGAGAAAGTTAAGAGAGTAGTGACACTCCTGTTTAAGGTGAAAAAGTTAAGAAGTAGTGACACTCCCTGTTTACAGGTGAGAAAGTTAAGAGAGGTAGTGACACTCCCTGTTTTACGGGTGAGAAACTTAAGAGAGTAGTGACACTCCTGTTTACGGGTGAAAAATTTAAAAGGGGAGTAGTGACCTCCCTGTTTACAGGTGAAAAAGTTAAGAGAGTAGTGACATTTCCCCTGTTTACAGGTGAGAAAGTTAAGAGATTTGTGACATTTCCCCTGTCTACAGGTGAGAAACTTAAGGGGGAGTGACACTCCCTGTTTACAGGTGAAAACTTAAGAGAGTAGTGACAACTCCCTGTTTACAGGTGAGAAACTTAAGAGAGTAGTGACACTCCCTGTTTACAGGTGAGAAACTTAAGAGAGTAGTGAAAACTCCTGTTTACGGGTGAGAAATTTAAGAGAGTAGTGACATTTCCCTGTTTACGGGTGAGAAAGTTAAGAGAGTAGTGACACTCCCTGTTTACAGGGAAAAGTTAAGAGAGTAGTGACACTCCCTGTTTACAGGTAGAAAGTTAGAGAGTAGTGACACTTCCTGTTTACAGGTGAGAAGTTAAGAGATTAGTGACACTCCCTGTTTACAGGTGAGAAAGTTTAAGAGAGTAGTGACACCCCCTGTTACAGGTGAGAAAAGTTAAGAGAGTAGTGACACTCCCTGTTTACAGGTGAAAATTAAAAGAGTAGTGACATTTCCCCGTTTTACAGAGAGAAAGTTAAAGAGTAGTGACACTTCCTGTTTACAGGTGAGAAAGTTAAGAGAGTAGTGACACTCCCCTGTTTACGGGTGAGAAAGTTAAGAAGTAGTGACACTTCTGTTTACAGGTGAGAAAGTTAAGAGAGTAGTTACACCCCCTGTTTACAGGTGAGAAAGTTAAAGAGTAGTGACACTCCCTGTTTACAGGTGAGAAAGTTAAGAGAGTAGTGACCACTCCCTGTTTACAGGGAGAAAGTTAAGAGAGTAGTGACACTCCCTGTTTACAGGTGAGAAAGTTAAGAGAGTAGTGACACTCCCTGTTTACAGGTGAGAAACTTAAGAGAGTAGTGACACTCCCTGTTTACAGGTGAGAAAGTTAAGAGAGTATGACACTCCCTTTTACAGGTGAGAAAGTTAAGAGAGTAGTGACACTCCCCTGTTTACAGGTGAGAAAGTTAAGAGATAGTGACACTCCCTGTTTAAGAGGTGAGAAAGTTAAGAGAGTATTTGACACTCCCTGTTTACGGGTAAAGAAGTTAAGAAAAGTAGGGGACACTTCCTGTCTAAAAGGTGAAAACTTAAGAGGGTAGTGACACTCCCCTTTTTTACGGGTGAGAAACTTAAGAGAGTAGTGACACTCCCTGTTTACAGGTGAGAAACTTAAGAGAGTAGTGACACTCCCTGTTTACAGGTGAGAAACTTAAGAGAGTAGTGACACTCCCTGTTTACAGGTGAGAAATTTAAGAGAGTAGTGACACTCCCTGTTTACAGGTGAGAAAGTTAAGAGATATGACACTCCCTGTTTACAGGTGAGAAAGTTAAGAGAGTAGTGACACCCCCTGTTTACAGGTGAGAAAGTTATGAGAGTATGACACTTCCTGTTTACGGGTGAGAAAGTTAAGAGATTAGTGAACACTCCCTTTTTACAGGTGAAAAAGGGTTAAGAGAGTAGTGACACTCCCTGTTTACAGGTGAGAAATTTAAAAGAGAGTAGTGACACTCCCTGTTTACAGGTGAGAAAGTTAAAAAAAGTAGTGACACTTCCTGTTTACAGGAGAAAATTTAAAAGAGAGTAGTGACACATTCCTGTTTACAGGTGAGAAATTTAAAGAGAGTATGACACTCCCTGTTTACAGGTGAGAAATTTAAGAGTATGACACTTCCTGTTTACAGGTGAAAAAGTTAAGAGAGTAGTTACACTCCCTGTTTACAGGTTGAGAAAGTTAAAAAGAGTAGTGGACACTCCTGTTTACGGGTTAGAAAGTTAAGAGAGTAGTGACACTCCCTGTTTACAGGTGAGAAAGTTAAGAGAGTAGTGACACCCCTGTTTACAGGTGAAAAGTTAAGAGATAGTGACACTCCCTGTTTACGGGTTTGAAAACTTAAGAGAGTAGTGACCACTCCCTGTTTACGGGTTTGAGAAAGTTAAGAGAGTAGTGACCTCCCTTTTTTAAGGTGAGAAAGTTAAGAGAGTAGTGACATTTCCCTGTTTACAGGTGAGAAAGTTAAGAGAGTAGTGACACTCCCTGTTTAGAGGTGAGAAAGTTAAGAGGGGTAGTGCCCTTTCCCTGTTTACAGGTGAGAAAGTTAAGAGGTATGACACTTCCTGTCTACCGGTGAGAAACTTAAGGGGGTAGTGACACTCCTGTTTACAGGTGAAAACTTAAGAGAGTAGTGACACTCCCTTTTTACAGGTGAGAAACTTAAGAGAGTAGTGACACTCCCTGTTTACGGGTGAGAAGTTAAGAGAGTAGTGACACTCCCTGTTTACAGGTTGAGAAAGTTAAGAGAGTAGTGACACCCCTTTTTTACAGGTGAGAAAGTTAAGAGAGTAGTGACACTTACTGTTTTACAGGTGAGAAAGTTAAGAGATAGTGACACTCCCTGTTTACAGGTGAGAAAGTTAAGATAGAAAGTGACACTCCCTGTTTACAGGTGAGAAAGTTAAGAGAGTAGTGACACTCCCTGTTTACGGGTGAAAAAAGTTAAGAGAGTAGTGACACTTCCTGTTTACAGGTGTGAAAGTTAAGAGAGTAGTGACACTCCCTGTTTACAGGTGAGAAAGTTAAGAGAGTAGTGACACTTCCTGTTTACAGGTGAGAAAGTTAAAAAGTAGTGACACTTCCTGTTTACAGGTGAGAAAGTTAAGAGGTATGACACTCCCTGTTTACAGTGAGAAAGTTAAGAGAGTAGTGACACTTCCTGTTTACAGGTGAAAAAGTTAAGAGAGTAGTGACACTCCCTGTTTACAGGTGAGAAAGTTAAGAGAGTAGTGACACCCCCCTGTTTACGGGTGAAAAAGTTAAGAGAGTAGGGGACACTCCCTGTTTACAGGTGAGAAAGTTAAGAGGTAGTGACACTCCCTGTTTACAGGTGAGAAAGTTAAGAGAGTAGTGACACTCCCTGTTTACAGGTGAAAAAGTTGAGAGTAGTGACACCCCCTGTTTACAGGGAGAAAGTTAAGAGAGTAGTGACACTCCCTGTTTACAGGTGAGAAGGTTAAGAGAGTAGTGACACTCCCTTTTTTACAGGTGAGAAAGTTAAGAGAGTAGTGACACTCCCTGTTTACAGGTGAAAATTTTAAGAGTAGTAGTGACACTTCCT